ATTAGATGTATTGAGAATGACTAGATCACCACATATTGCCATGTGCGGTGGCAGTCTGATCAGTAAAGTTATATGTTATCATCCACATAGGAAAGAGAGAAAAGAATATATTGCACAATTGGTGGGCTACGTGCCCGGGAATCAGGGTGTATGTTCAGGAAAAGAAAGAAGAAGCTCATTCGCCAAAGGAGACCGCCCCAGAACGCCATTCAATGCATGTAGGAACCCAAAACCCAGTTCATCCAATAATGAATAACAAAGTCGTATAGAAGCGCATATCAGCGACTTATACCATGAAGGATTCACCGCATCCGCATTGTTCCTCTAGCAAGATTTGTTAGTATACGCTCCGTGCGGTTGTCCGGTGAGACCATAATGTGCTTACTAATATTGGGGTTGCGGAAGACGAATTTCCTGCTGAGCTTGTCTTCTTGCCAGTCCATCTCACTTCCGATTATGCTAAAGAGAGCCTTGCTGTCGATCAAGACCTTGACACCGTCTTGCTCCACGACCTCGTCGAAAGTGCCCGGCTTCTCCACGTACTCCAGGTGGTAGGCGAGGCCAGAGCAGCCTCGGTTCTTGACTCCAACGCGGATCAGTTTGGGTTCGGGCTGAGACAAGAGTTTACGGAGTTGCTCAATGGCCACCGGGGTCAGCTTCATAGCAGCCTTGCGGGCGCGGAGTTTTCTGCGGGGCTTCTCGACGGGCTTAGCGGTAGTGGCGGGAGAGGTCTCGACGGGCTTGGGCTTCTGTGATTCGGCTTCGTTGAGGTTGATGTTCGGAGAATAGGCTTGTTGGCCAGGAAGCTGAGGCGAGGTCATCTCGCGGAAGGAGGGGAAGTCTGCGGCAATGGAGGTGTCGGACGACCCCGGGCTCCGAGGTGGCGGGAAGGAAGTGGGCAGACTGTGTGGACGGTATGCGGTAGCAGTCTGCAACTCACGCTTCGAAGAAGATCGCTGTGAGTTTCCATATGAGGAGAAAAGACGGCATGTCTGTGCTGTGCGTCTGCTCGATGACTGTCTCAACAAGCTGAGCAGCGTGGCGGATGATGTCACTGAGGACTGCATAGTGACTGTGTAAAAACGAGGCGGTAAATTGAAGATTGATAGTAGATGATCTATGAAGCGACAGGACAGCGTGTAGCTAATTTCCCACGATGTCTGAACGGTTGTTGGGTCACTGTAGTGATTGTGATAGAGGATGCGAGGAGGAGGATGAAAGTGAGTCGGGAAAGATTGAGTTCTGTTTGGGGGAGGCGGAAGAACGCCGGGTCGGGTCCTGAGTCGGTTAAAAGAGGTCAGGGCCAGGACCGCATCGGCCAATCAGCATTGAGGTGTTTCTACACAGGTCAAGTGGCGCCACTGCGCTCTGCTGTTCTAGACTAGAAATTGATGAAGTAAATCCATTAGAGACTGGGGTAGGACCCAATAACTAATGATTATCATTGCTTAGTGAGTGGTTTTAAGTGGCCATGTTCTTTTGTTTGTTCTCTGTCCTTCATGATCCGTTTCATCCCTCGTCATTCACACAGAGCACGAATTCACTGTTCTGCCATTGGAGAATGTTCCTTAGTCATGATTTGGCACCTGAGCACCTCAGGCGTCAACTTGGAATCAGATGACTAATTGCTTTCTTCTGCATCCGACAAACATCAGTTTGCAGGGAGTACTATCTAATTGTTAAGCTATGTTTGGGCTGAAAGAGGTTTAAGGTGATCAAGGATTTATGTCCAGGATAACCTTCCTTGGCAGGATTGTTTAAAGTACTTTCTCTTCATCACTCTATCCTCGAACATGGTAATAATCGCTGGACCCCCTTGACGGTTTATTTTATGAAGATGCCACATGGTCAAACTTACTTGCAGGTCGCACATCCCCTGATTATGTCATCTTCAACACGCAGATGTTCTCGTAGCTCGCTTCTATGGATTGGGACGAGGAGATTTGATTATCGGATGAAAAGTTATCAAGCGAATGGCTGCTCCTGAATATTGCTGTAGCGGTGTTTTGATTTGGTCTCTACTTGAAAAATGGACAGGCTCGTGTAAAAATGGAGGGAGAGAGAGAGATAGGGGAAGTGGCTTGTAGTGGTGCCAACCAGGTGGTGGGGATTGATGGCCTAAAAAGGCAGAAAAAGAGTGGTGTCGAATAAGGCGACGACCGCTGAATTTCCCCCTCAAAGCATGGGATGTCAATAACATCCTCCCCGTCCGCCAGGCATTTAGGTCGGCCTTGACTTCTTTGCTCTTATCTACTATATTGGCCATGATCTTGTGTTCTGTGCCGATCGTCCAACTCAATCTTTAAGCATGATGGATTCCCCTTTGACCCAGCAAAGTAGACCGGAAACCTTCAAACCGAAGATCGTGCAACTATACGAGACTCTATTCCAGGTATGTACTTCCACCTATGTTTCTACATCACATAAATCTGACCGATCCGTTAGACCACGGACTTTTCGGAACCCTCGGAGGGTTTTTGGAGAGAATTTTTTCTGCTGCCACCGGATAGGAGCCAGCTCAATGCACTACTGAATCAGCTCAGTCCTGATGATACCCTGAATCTGCAGGTCAATGACCCACGTGATTATGAGTTCAAAGGTGTAGAATGACCATCGCTGACTCTTTAGCAGGCTCAAACCCAGCAACTCTTCACTCGTGCCATAAGTGAAGCTGCGTCGGGGTCCAGTCCCGTTGATTCGTATGCTCTTGAGGTGGGTCAATATTCCTCGAAGCTGAACTCCCATCTCTAAGCAGACGATAGACCTTGACGGTCTTTCTAGCCTGTGTCTTGAAGAAAAAATACACCAATCCCAGCTCAGATGTAATCACCGTTCTCGCTGGTCTCGACAATGTTGACCATGCAATTTTCAATTTCGTCGCTGTTTTGGATGGGATCATTCGCAATGGCAAAACCTGTGAGCTCCTAGCGCAATGGAAGAAGACTTTTGTTCAAGCGCTGACTGGTCATCTAGATGCGCTACGATTTCAAGCCATAAAGACTGCTATTGCAATGACTGCTGGCGCATACAAGACCAGCCTCGTCTCATATCTCACGCATCGCGACCTGTTCCCTTCAATCATGAAGGTTCGTTCGATGACCTCTCCCGTCCGTCAGATAACTCAAATTGACATGCATCGCAGTTCGTACAAGAGTCAGAGACGCCCGTGCAAGTATTTGAGCCGTTTCTTCTTCTCGGACTGCTAGCAAATTACAACAAGTTCGAGATGCAGAATCCGTATCAGCTGCGGCTTGACGACTTTGTGAATGAAGCGAGCATTCAGAAAATCGCCAGAGGAGTTGGTAGTTCCTGTGGAGCCCTCAGAAACGGTTACGCTGCCGTGCAGGACGACTCTCCCGAGGGCTGGACATTGATCAGCACGTTGATGTACTTTGGTTTGGGCGCTCTTGCTTCCGGTAAGAAGGATCGGCCGAATCCACCGACTGCCGAGGAAGCGAAGGAGTTGTTTGCATCACTGTACGACCTTCAACAAGCGTCATTTTTGTCCTAAGGACCAGCTAACGAAAGCAGGCCCGCGCAACAAGCAGCGATCCTCCTAGCTACCTACGACTTCATCAATGCCAATAAACTGTTCGGGCTTCACCTCATCAGCTTGGCCCCCGAGAAGGACAACGAGGAGTCGCCCTTCGCATCATTCCTCTCATTGACATCCTACCTTCTCCAACATGCCTACCGATCACCGCGGACCGCTCACTACGCAGAGCTCAACCTCCTGACCCTCCGCATAATATCCGAAGACAACGCCCTCTGCAAACAACTTTGCAGCGACGAAAGCAAGCGCAAAATCCGACTCTGTCGCCAAAAGCAACCATATCTGCCTCTCATCACCAGCGAACGAATCCCCACCACAGCCATCTTCGACATCCTCATTGATACCCTTACCCACAACCTTCGACGGCGCCTCGATGTGAATCTCTATAGGTACGCCATCAACCTCCTCCCTGTCTCTTCGATCTCGTAATCCCCCCTCAAACTTCTAACACCAAACCCAGCCACTGCATCGCCATTTTCCTCCGCCTCCTCACCTACCTCTCCAAGAACAAGATCCGCCTCACCTATCACTGGTCCGAACTCTGGCGCACCTTGCTCTCCCTGATGCGCTTCCTGACCACCTACGTCTCCGACCTCATCACCAGCACCCCGCACATCCACACCCTCACCACCACCCTGGTCAACCTGATCGCCTTCTGCGTCTCCGCGGGCGACACCTTCCTCCCGGACCCTTCCAGCTACGACGACCTCTTCTACAAGCTCGTCGAAACCGGCCCCATCATCGCCCGATTCCGCGACGTGTACGCCTTCAAATCCAGCAGCGGCGGCGGCGGCGGGGCTAGCGGTCCTCACTCAGCGGTGGCGGTGGGCCACATCCCCAAGACGGATCGGAGCATATCATCCAGCGCAGAGGTCCACGTCACCGCGATCGAGACCTTGATCTCTGTCTCCACGCACTTCCACACTCTTCTGTTTGTCCCGGATAAAGGCGGCGAGGCTGGTGGTGGTGGTGCGGCGGATGGCGAGAGCCCCGCGCCCGTGTCGCCGAATCTGAAGAAGAATCTCAGTCCGCGGGAGGTGCATCGTATCATCAAGCAGGGGTACGAGACGCTGAGTATCCCGCCGCTAGAGGGTCTCAGTGCGTGGCAGAAGTTCCGTGAGGCGGATTGGAAGGTGGAATTGAAGCGGGCGGCGCGATGCGCCGTGGACGATGCTAGGCAATTAGTCGCGTAGGAGATTCGTGTGTCGGGGTGTGTGTATGTAGGTGTCTTGAAGATATGATCGCGTATTTGGTTGAGTGGAGGAGAGCTCTGTTTTACGTAGCACTCCGGGGTGAAGAGAAACTCCTTCAGACCCAGAAGCTGTGTATGCATGGTGTACTTGTTTGGTTAAGGGTTGATGCGTTTACTGTCAAAATTCAATACCATGTCCGTTGACAAGCCTATCACGTAGGAGGAAACAAAACTGTTACTCAATTCGGACGCCAGAACTTGCGCCAGTTTTATCCTATTAATGTTACAGTGATAGCATTATCATAGCATGCATCAGAGCGCCACAGGACTGTGCTCCACAGCCCACAACACAAAAATTGGCCCCAAAACACTTGGAAGATCAGGAAAGCACACGAGATTGACCGCCTCAGATCTCTAGAACTCCCATACTCGGTTCATCACACAAGACGCGAGGTAGCCGTGGCCGGAGCTGGATTTGGAGCCCCGCGCGACTTCTCGATATACTCGTTGCTGGCATTCGTGTACCTAGTTGCAAAGTACTTGGCGGAGTTGCGGCTCAACCAGATTGTGAACTTAGAGAGCTCTTCCCGAAGCCTGTTCGTGGATTGAGCATCCATGTTCGTCTGGGCGATGAGCTCAGGCATGGTCGCTATGAGGATTATAGGTTAGCATTCGCAGCAAGTTGTGAGGAAGCGAACCCTACCAAAAAGCCGCGTCAGATGCTCAGCGCCGTAGGTCTCAAGAGGACCTTTGTCGGCCCAGTCCCCATTGCCATCCTCCCACCTCTTGCGGATCACACGATACTGTTCCCTTTCAAAGCGATAGAGAAGAATCTTGTCAAGTGCTTTGTAGAAGTATTCCCGGATTCCCATGACGATCTCATCGAGAACATCCAGGTCAGCCGTGCTCGTCCGCTTAGGCTTTTCCTCCTTGACATAGTCATCCAAGATCTGGCTAACTGAGCATTTCGCCGGCAGTGCCACCACTTGCTGGTTTTTAGTGATATTCTCCCAGTCATCGACCAGAAGGGATTTCAGATTGTCGGGCATGACAATCCGCACTGATGGCCGGACATAGAAGCTCTCCTCCTGTATTGAGTCTGTCAGTCAACCAACAATAAATATGCTGATCCTTTGAGCACATTGTCACTAGACACTGCAATGATGTGCGAGACCGGCGAAGCCTATGTTTGTATACAAAGAATAGAAGCAAACATACCTTTTCAATATCATTTTCTCGTGCTCTCTTCGTCCCGCGGCCCGGAACTGAAGTTTGCCTCTCCTCACTGTCCCGGGCGGAACTGCGATCGGAACCTCCCCGTTTCTTCACAGATGGCTTCACATTCTTTTGGCGGAAAGCAGCCTCAGCCTCACGACGGAGAGTCGTGGCCAACTCTCGATTCTCATCTGTAAATTTACGAAGTCGATCTTGTGGGACCCAGTCGTCCCACCTAATTGCAGTAAACCAGCATATCAGTCAGCCAGGCTATGATGATCCCGCCCCACCGGCCCAGGGTAACAGCAGCCACATCGACAAGCACAGATGGAAATAAGCAGCTTCTCCTGCAGAGAAGGGGGTAGAAAACATCGGGCGACACGAAGACATAAGAGCAGCATTTTTGAGGTCGAGAGGGTAAAATTGAGAAGATTTTCAATAAGGAGAAGTGATAACCGGGTGATAAGGCGAGGATAAGACGTACGTGTTCTTCCACCCCTTGTAGTGGACAAGGTACTCATACGGACTCTTGCGGTCGTCAGGATCGATATGCCTTAGGTCAAGGATTTTTGCTTCATAGAGAATCTCATGGTGGAAACAAAGGACTCTCTCGTCCTTCTGGTAGTTCATATGGCTTGCAGGTGCCATGATGAGATAGATGAGTGATGTTTCGAGATGAGGGGTATTCTTTGGTCACAAAAATGATGCTGCTGACAATGACACAGAACACTGATACCTGGGATGTCTCAAACTGTGAGAAGAATCTAGAAGAGGCAAATTTTTCCTGTATCAGGGCTACTGCTTGCTTTAGCCCCGATCAGTGCTCTTGCTCCTGAACAGCACGTGCAGCAAGTTGACTGAACTCTTCAAGCGGACAAAGGCCCTTGACAAAAGGATATCAATCAGGTCAAAGTTACAAGTCTCCCAGCTGAGAGAAGTTCAGCCGCTGAGGAGCTGTCTCGATCTTCTCAGAGTGAGAGAGAGATATGTTTGTTTGGTTGGCTAGGGTCAAGGTCAATGTCATGAAATTTTGATGGAGGCTGGTCAGATATCTCACATGCGGTAGTAGCAGCCACAAGCCGGTTTATCACGGGCGTAAATGAAGTATCTCAAGATTTGGGGAAAAGATAAGCTGCAGGGATTGAGATGGTGGGTGTTAGTTATGTTATCGCATGTCGCGGTTGGGGCAAGAAAGAGGAAGCCCGCGGGATCACCGTCTGGTGGAAGAAACGCGTCCGAAAGGGCAAGTCACGGCCTGGTGGCCTAAATTGGAACATTCGCCCTTCCTCTTCTTCCCTCTCCACCACTCCTTCGCTTACTCTCTGATATAACAAATGACCCTACGTGCAACCTTACAACCCCTCAAAGGCCACAGCACACAATGAAGTAACATTTACACTTCTATATGTTATTCTTGAGTTGCTGCTCTTCCCCTTCATCGCTCACCTATATCGCCCTTTCCCAATTTCTGATTGGCTTGGAACGCGATTTGTCCCGATTGAGCGTAACACCACAGCCACCAAAGATCGTCCATCATTAAGAAAGAAACTGTCATTTTTGCCGGCAAGGACGAGCTACGTATTTCTAGCTCGTTTTATGTGCTATAGCCGCGCTTCTTACGGCAACTCGATTCATTATGGCACCTTCAGAGACAGCCATTCTGAGCAATTTCCTTTTGACCCCAGCTCCCTTGCCAACAATCATCTCGTTGCAGCAGTTCACTGAGCTCTTTCCAAAGAGACTACGCTCTCACCCGCACATCAGGGTTCTCTATCGTGAATTACAAGAGATTCGCGAGCAGGACCTGGACCTAGTCAATGAGAACATTGACAAGGAAGCAGTTCAGGGTGAACGCCAGAAGGCAGAGCTCCGTAAATCCTTGATGAAGACAGGCATTGATGGCATTAGCTCAGCTGAGCAGCGCGAGATGGATATGGATGTCGAGCTGTTTGGGCAGACGACTTCTACGTCCAATTACCACTCAGTATCGAGTCTTCTCGCCGCTATGCAGACGGCATGCTCCAACGTGGAACATGAGGTGACCGAAGTCGACAAGGAAGCAAGCTCACTCCTGTCCGATCTCAATGGTTTGGTGGGTGACTTGAGTGATCTGCGGTATGGCAAGATGCAAGGCCCTGTAGGCATGACAGGCGAGGAGGGCGTCAGCGAGGCCATAAGGGGTCTTCAGAACCTTGAAAATGCTTGCTACCGCAACAGCTGAACTATTCCAATGGCAACAAACCTCATCTTTGGTGTATCTGTCAATTTCTATCCTTACTTCAGATCACTACATTGTCGGTCGACTCAATATCCGCCAACATAGCCGCGCGCCGTCTATGATCGGCCACAGCACTGGTCACCTCTGAATCAGGATCTGCTAGCGCAAATTGCGTTACTTAGCAGAAACACTGTGACTTGACGACGCAGTACTGTTAGATTTGCGCGAAGGAGAGACTACTCGAATCGCACTCTTTCTGCATAACCATTCAGGAAAACCTCGAGATTTTCGGCGCACAAATCCGGCCAGGTGGCCTGATCGATCCATATGGACAGCACCGGCGATACCACTTCAGCTCGCTAAGTACCAAGAGCACTCAACGTAATTGAGGGCACGACTGAGCAGCTTATGGATTTCCGACACAATGTGGGCACGTTTTAGCCAGCATTTTTAAACGAAATGGCAATTTTTTCTCTCTCTTATGATTGCTTCTGTCTCGTCGAGCCCATTCCTATAACGATACATAATTCATTCGTAGGATTGATATCCAAAGCTTCATAGATCACCGTACTTGACGTTGCGCAAACATTATACTTAATTCATGTGATGACCGACTGTAGTCGAAAAGACACCGCCGATAAGATACCGCGCCGACAAATGCACGCCCGACGCAGCGAATTTCCCACCTCTGCTTCAGGAGACACGACACTGATCTCTTCAAACCACCAGAACCAGCAGACATACCACTCATCACCGTGCAGAAACCTGATCAATCGTCCTACCAGAGCATATCGGCGCCTCTGAGTCTTGATTCTCGACTATCGCATTATCTCACAATGCCATCCATCACCCTCCACCCGCGCGCGTCGCGATCGCCCTCACGCGTTTCCAACCCTTTTCCCCAGCTCCTCCAAACCCCCTCCGGCCTGGCGCTACTGGAACTCCAAGGCACAATCAACATCCCTTCCCACGATGAATCCTCCCATTCCGCCGAATTTCCCGACGGGGCGTCCGTGTTCGAGACCCCGATCGGCAAGCTCATGTTCCCGGACTACTCGCCGCAGAATCCCGCGGACGACGCGGCCTGGATGAAGCGGGTCTACCTTTACGTCGGGCGCTACCAACGCATAACAGGCGAGGTGAAGAAGCTGCCGAAGCCGCTGGCTCTCGTGCAGCGGAGGCCGACGCCGGCGGCGGGTTCCGCGCGGGGGGGCGGCGATAGTGACGAATTGGAGGTGGTCGAGGTGGTGCGATACAAGATTTACTTCAAGAATCGACCGGAGCCTGTCAATGACCTCTAAGACCGCGTGATCTTGGGACAGCACATGCTTGCTCCAAGCTACAGGAGCTGCTGGAGAGCTATCTGGGAATTTGTCCTGGTTCGGTTGAAACCTGCCTTGGCGGGAGCATGTCATGCAGATGTCAGAGGCTGAACCTTGTGGCTTGTCGTTGTCCAAACTCGAGGGGGAGAATGTGGAAACCTTGTGTCAAACAACGACGGCAATACAGTCTCCTGTCATGGCGATATCGGAGCGGATCTGGCTTTCACGACATAACTCAAAACACGCGGGCAGAGATATAAGACATGCGAGAAGAGGAGGTCTGGACTATGAGGCGTGCTGTCTACCAGTGCACGGGCAAAGTCTATCTCCACTCTGGTCGCTTTCTACGAGTTTGTATACTTGCCATGGCTATTTTGTCTCAGGCCGAGGAGGACATCTCTCCTGCGAAACTGGGTCCAGAATACGTGGGCTTCGATCATATCACATGGTATGTCGGCAACGCGAAGCAGGCTGCAAGCTACTACGTCACTCGCTTGGGCTTCGAGCATGCTGCATACCGGGGCCCTGAGACGGGGTCTCGCAATATCGTGTCCTATGTGGTTTCGAATCACGGCGCCACCTTTGTCCTTACCTCACCCGTTCGTACTCCGTTGGAGACAGAGGGAGCTGTGTCCGAGCGCGATGAGAAGCCCTCTCTAGCTGAGATCCACGCTCATTTGACCAAACACGGAGACGGAGTCAAAGATGTCGCGTTCAGGATTAATGGTGATGTGGAGAGTGTCTGGAAGAGAGCGGTCGACAACGGTGCAACCTCCATTACGCCGCCTCAGAATCTAGTAGACGGAGACAACGGGAGCATCAGCGTGGCTACTGTAGGGGTGTATGGAGACACGACACATACGCTAATCAGCCGGCAAGACTACTCAGGGCCATTCCTCCCGGGCTACAAAGCAGTGGTAGAGGAGGATTCCATCAATCGGCTCCTTCCACAGATCGACTTTATCGAAATCGACCATTGCGTCGGCAATCAGCCTTCGAATGGTGTCGACTCCATAGTGAAGTAGTAAGTCTACTCGGTGCATGCTGCGGAAGGATTGCATGCTGAACGCCAATACTGCAGCTACGAAGACTGTTTCGACTTCCACCGATACTGGACCGTGGACGACTTGAGCATGTGTGGAGAGTACTCAGCCATGCGCTCCATCGTCGTCGCGTCACCCAATGAAGTGATCAAGATGCCCATGAATGAGCCAGCACCGGGGAAGAAGAAGTCCCAGATCGAGGAGTGCGTACCGTCCCTAGCCCATTCACTGCAGACCGCAACCAGAAACTTACTATCATTCACGCAACAGATTTGTCGACTTCTACAACAATGCTGGAGTGCAGCATATCGCATTCCGAACGCACGATATCGTCACGGCCGTCAGCCGACTCCGGCAGCGCGGCATGTCCTTCCTGCGCGTCCCGGACGAGTATTACATCGACTTGCGGCGGCGGCTGTCCGATGGTGGTCCGCGGATCGCAGAGGATATCGACCGATTGCGGGACCTGCACATCCTGGTGGATTTCGACGAGAAGGGCTACCTGCTCCAGATCTTCACCAAGCACGTGCTCGACCGACCGACGGTCTTCCTGGAAGTGATCCAGCGCAACAATTTCGATGGATTCGGCGCCGGGAACTTCAAGAGTCTGTTCGAGGCCTTCGAACGAGAGCAGGCTCTACGGGGGAATTTGTGATTGGCATACGACATGTCGCGTTGCAGTCTGCACAAGAGATCTCGTTAGACCATCATAGAGGAAGATTGACAGGGAGGCAAGACCGGAAGGTAGGAAGGTCCTGTAGGTAGGTAGGTATTATTCCGCAACGTCGGCAAGGAAAATAGCCGGGGTGGGCGCGGCGGAAAGGGAGCGCGAGGAAAGAATTCCGCGGTCGAGTCGTCGTCATCGATCGCCCCCGGGTATAATCACTAGGTATACACAACAAGCAAGCAAGAGCAATAGAAGCACCACCTGAATACCAATGCATACAGCAAGCTCTGCATAGACATTCCCAAGTATCTCGTCCAGTAAATCACCATCTCACACCAGCCCCGATGTACAGTACATACAGTAGAAACCCCGGGATCATAACCCAGACCCGACCGTACCCGACGCCAGCCGACATCCGTCGGAAAGTCCCCCCTTCCTTCCAGCTCAAGCTACTGAGTGCAGTAGTTACAGTACAACAATCAGCGCAATTGCTCACCATTGCAGGACTATACTCCCACAAAGAAGTCACTAACCAAGACCCGAGTTCAGATTTTACCTAGGCTAACCACCAACAAAAGTCCCCACCAAAGCACCGACTGTACGGTACTGTTCCCCATTTCCCTGGACTAACTACCCCGCAACCGCCTATACTCTGCCCCGACGGGATAACTACAATACATAAAGCCCAGCCCTCTCCCTCCCTCCCACCCACCCACTCACCTTTCGCCATATACTGTACATATACCTCACTTCTTATATCTAGACTTGCTTCTCACATAAGAAACCTCCCACGCAATATCCCACCCGCACTCGCTCATCCACCTCCACTTACACCCAGAGAGAAACCTGTTGGGTTACCCCGAACCTTGAACTTGAATGCTCCGCACCCTCTCCAAAATGGCCCCAGCCGTCGAACGCATCACTCTATTCAAGATCCCCGACGAGACGGCCCGGGACCGCGTGCTCGAGCAATACAAAGTGCTTGCGAAGACGGCCGTCAAGGTAAGATAGCCAGACCCAAGTCACTTGTTCTACTTGCCGGGTTGAGTTTACGAAACACAACAAGATACTGACTGACACTGAACCGACGATCTAGGACGGAAAGCCATACATCGTCGGCGCGGCCGCTGGCCCGTCGTTCCCCGACCCCCGCAACAAGGGCTACAATCTGAGCGTCAAGACGACGTTTGCCTCGCTGGAGGATATGAAGTACTATGATACCGAGTGTGAGGCGCACAAGGCGTTGAAGGCGGTGGTGGGACCCGTGCGGGAGGATGTGTTGACGACGTACTTTGAGAGTGTTCTGTGAGTCTGAAGGAGATCAAAGGGAGAGAGATGAAGTGGTCTTGGTGTATAGACTTTATGATCGACATGATTTGTGAGGTCTCTCTTCTCAATAGGGAAGGGATTTTTATTTGAATATAGTCTACTCAGACACTCGTGTCGTGTGATTTAATATCCAATTCATGAATCAGTTCCATGCATGCATGCTGGAGCATAGCTGAATGCCCTGGTTTCGCTGCCCAGTCGAGCAGAAGTGAAGATAAAAACATAAACATGAGACAACTAACATGGCCCTCGCCCATCATGCCCTGGGATTAAAAGTACAGGGTACCCAAGAGTTTTGCCCTCCTTGTCAGTCGTTTAAAATGTACAAATATGGTTCAGAAACCGTCAAGGAGACCGAACGAGGAAAGCAAGGGGGGAAAAGCAGCGAAGCCAGCAACTACTACTCCTCCATCACTGAATTCTAGCCTAGAATATACAACCCCCAACTTAGTCGAGAGCCTTGCGTAGGTCACTCCATTTCTGTTTGAGATTCTCATGGTTTTCATGGATCTTTGGATTCGTTAAGTCAGCGTTGTACTGTGGGAACCGAATGACCAGGGATAGACTCACCTCGGCCCATCTCATCTTGGCCTGTACCAGCTCCTTCTCCATCTCTGCCATCTGCTCGACCATCGATCGGTTCTCATTTTGAACCTCAAGGTTGCGTTGCATGATGCGGTCCATCTCTGTGCGCAGCTTCTCCTCCACCTCTGCTGGCTGCTTGTCCACTACAATCTTGAGCTCCTTGACTTGCATCTTCAATGCATCATTAATGTCTGTCAGCTCCTCGTTTTCGACCTTGACGTGAACCAGTTCTGACGCGAGCTGAACATGCTCCTTGTCAGAAGCCTCGTTCTGCTCCTCCAATTGGCGGATCCGGGCACTTTGCACGGCCACAGTGTGCTTCAAGTGCTCGAGCTCGACCTCGCGCTCCTTTTCCGTCCGTACCTTGTCCTCCCACTCAGCTGTGTACGCACTGACCGTCTCTGGTTCTAAAGGTATAGCGCAAGCGTCCTGCACCATGATATCCGCGCGATAGACTTCCTTGTCGGCAGCGCCCGAGCTTCCAAAGAAGCCAGACTCCAGGATCGAGGAGGGAGTCGGTTGCCTGTCGATGTAAACGTCAAACAAACGCTCTTTCAGGAACGTGGTCAGAGGTGCCATGTCCTTCATCTCCAAAAGCGCGTCTGCATTTCGGCGCATGATGGCGAGAGCAAATTTGAGAATAGCGTTCTCAAGGCCTTCGTCGAATATGAGATCGTAAACACGAAGGACTAATTGTAGAGGAAACCGATAAGCAAACAGAGTGAGAAACCACTGTGTTGCGTACAGCTGGGGAGGTACACCGCGTCGCCGGAGGTGACAGTAGAGGGCCGGCTCGAAGTCCTCCAGCAGACGCTCAAAGAGATACAAGCAGCGGTGAAGACCAGGCATCTCCTGGATAAACATCTTCCGCAAACCATACTGATTCATGAGCTTGACCAGAAGTGTAAATGCCTCCGCCTCGTCCATCTGCAAGACCGTCAGTGTAACTCATTGTTCTTTTGAGTGATTGGATGACCTACGTTGAAGAGCAAGGGCATGACAATGAAGTTCATTCCCTGGGCGTATCCCACCCCCTCATCGTAAAGGGCATACGCCTTGCACAGCCCAAACAAAGCCTCCTGGTTCCCTTGTGACACAAAATAGCGCGAATAACTCGTGCGAGCGCCCAAATCGCGTCGGATTGTTTTCTCCAACTTTTGCAACGCCAATGCATCCTCCTTCGCTTTCTTTGCTTGTTCCTTGGCCAGCCGTTCGGAATCGAGTTCATGGGAAGGGCTCGAGGAGCCATTGACCGAGTGTGCCAGGGAGGCGGACCGCTCTGAGCGAACCGAAGAACGAGACGACGACCTTGCAGAGTCTTTTTCGCCTAGTCCACTGGCCGCGCTGTTGCCAGGTCGCTGCTTCTCCTTGTCTGTACCACGGGCAACGAGTTCTCGGTACACATCTTCCAGCTCGGGGTTGCGGCTGTCAGCCAGGACTTGCCAGATCACCCCTCGAATAGTTTGCGGGATCCCTCGTTTGATGGCGGTATTAAGCTCCTCCGAGTTCGCCCCTTTCAGCGCTTGTGGGCCACGGTTGACTAATTGCTGCCAGAGCTCCCAGTCTACCGGTGCAGACGCATCTGTCGCTGAGGCTGAGAAGCCTGCGACTGTACCCGGCGGCAGATTTGGATTCACAGTCGACGTACCATTGGAGGGAGAAGCTGCGGATGGAGTAATGCTCGTGTAGCTGTCACCTTCTTCCGGGATACTCGGAGGGCTCCCTGCGGAGTGACTAATACTGGCCCGTCCTGACGTGACACTCGCTTCGTCGTTCTCCGATACAAGACCTTCGTCACGCAATCTGAGCTGTTTGAATTGATCCTTCAGGCTACTTCTTCGAGGCCTCCTTGAGCCGGTGCCGTCCGCATCTTCTCCATCGTGGTATCGACCATCAGGATTGCTGGAGAGCGTGGAAATCGACGCAGCCGTGTTGCGGCGGGGCTGCGGTGGAGGCGATTTGGCCTCCTTGTTGGATGACGAGCTTCGAGAAAGCCATGCGAAGGGGCTGGTGAACGAACGGGTTGGTGGTGGAGGTGGTGCAGGAGCGGCTGATTTGTTCGTGGAAGCACCATTGGGCAAAGCATTGGTCGATCCCTGAAGGCGCGAGCTCTGCGACGAAATCGAGTCTCTAGATACAATTGGTGGAGATGTGCCAGATTTGAGCTCCTCACTCAAGCGTTGGTTCTCAAGCGACTCTTCCTCCTTATTGCTGGTAAGGTTCACCTCGTCGAGGGAAGTCGTCGACAACCGATGCGCGGTCAGCAATGGTGACTTCTTGGTCTTGCGGGGGGTATCCTCTGCTTCAGATTTTCTGTCTACACTGGCAGTATCGCTCTCTTCGATGTTTTCCGGGTCCTCTTGGGAGCTTTGGGAGCTTATAGGTAGTGGGGGTGCTTCGGTCAATTGAGGTGTTACATTCGATCCACTCGGAGGGCTGTCGGTCAACGATCGGGAGGAGGAACTCTTCGGGATAGAGACGCTAAGATCAGCGTGTGAAGTCGGAGATTCAGGTGCATCATCGAAGGATTCCTGGTACAAATAAGTTGTCATTATGGGGTCCTCAAGGATATCGAATATATTCGGGTCGAGAGGTCAGAGGCTCACTCCTTCGTAAGTTTCGCTATTGCGTCTGGAAGACGACATATTTTAGACCCGACCACCTGGGAGGGGGGGGCCGAAACTATGTAAGACCAGTTGGTTTCCAGCTTTGAATTTCCAATTGATACAACGAGGCTGAATACACGCGCGATACGTGGGGGGGGAGCGATTGAGGAGGTCAGAATTGCGAAATTTCCATGATAGGGAGGTGGAGGCAGGCGGAGATGGGACGGTAGCCACCGACCGTTGTTAGAAGAAGAAAGAAATTAATTCTGGTGGTGGAGAGAGGTGAGGAGTTGAGACTGAGAACTGGAGACTTGAGGGGAGGAGGAAGGGGGGGAAAGTGCACAGCGAGAGGTTGGATAGACGAACGGGAGATGGGGATGAATGGAATGGATGGACCCAGAAGCCAGCGGGTGGAATTCCAGGACCGTGCCACGGAACTAGGAAGATCGGTTCCCAGCAAGTAAATCCAGGAGGTTGACTCCCTTTTTTTAAGGTGCAGTTGAAGACAGGTTGCAAGAATACACAATGGCGTAGTAGAATGGAAGGAAGAAGGTGAAAGAGAGATAGAAGAGCAGCAAACTAGAATTAGGCAGTCTCGACTCCGCGTAATTCGTAGTCTCTCTATTATTATTGTGTATTGTGATTGTGATTGTGGTAGGAATGGATGACTGGCTGGCTGACTCTTGCATGTACAGTACAGTTCCCCCCTAAAAACTAGCTGTGTAGGTCTAGTACCGTTGGTGTACTCCGCACTAATCAATTACTAGTCAGGAGAAGGAGACTTCTGACAACTTGGAAGACCAACTGATTGCCAGACTAAAAATAAGAGACAGGAGAAGTTCTAATTAACAAAGACAAGGTGAACACCGTCTTATTGAACCTCCAAGTCTGCAGGCAGCATTTTTTATATTTTTATCATTCTCTCTTTCTCCCTTTCTTTCTTTCTTCCCATGGGAACTGACCCATGGGCTGATTCTGCGGCCATTAATCGATATCTAAGGGAAACATTCCTTCCTAGAGCCACATCTATTATTCTGAAACTCACCAACAATCCATTATTATTCACACCCACCCTCTCGACTGCTGCCGTCTCCACCAACTAAGAGCTACGTATATATCTGTATGCCATTTATCTTTAGTTGGTTACATCGGTGTCTATGACGGTATGTGGGACACAGAAGCATAATAGCTAAGCAAGGATTGATTGTGAAAGGGACCACAGAATGAAAAAATAAAAAAAATAAAAAATCAAAAAAAAATCAAATCTCATCAAGAATATCCCGAAGATGGCGTTCTATCTATCAGATTCCAGATCGGTCGGCAAGGGATGATCATGATCGGCTCAGCAGGCAAGTGACTGTTCAAAATCCAGCCACCGTTGCTGTCGCAGCGGGTCCAGCTTCTTCAACTCCGCAAGCCACTTTAATACCGCCCGTTTCTGCGTATCAGCGGGAGTTATTCCCTCCACCTTCCAAGCCAACAACGTACAGTCGATCAAGGCTTGGTAGAGATATTTACAGTCTTCCGCCCCATCTAGCATGTCTTCAATTTCTTCAATCTCTTGTCGGAGGTATTCCAAGCGTTCCGAGTCACTGAGATTCGGTGCCATTGTCTGCGCCGCTGCCATCGGATCAAAGACGCACATTAAGTTCTGGTGGTAGAACCACAATGACTGGTCATATGGGTCGCACAAGGCACGATGGACCAATTCCAACTCTTCCGAAATGACATGTTAGCATGCCCACGCAGTAAGACGCTTGTGTCTGCGCCACACGGCGGAAAACGTAACATACCGTCATCGAGCATCTTTCTCCGCTCCTCATCGCTGGCTGATCGCTCGTTTAGCAGTCGCTGGATCAATTTGGTACGATAGTGCCAAGCAGAAAAATTCGACAGGTTGGCGCCGATCATCTTCTTTGCGTAGTCAAATTCAGCCTGGGTCATGTCTTCGCTGGGTTGCTCTGCGGACTTGAGCTGCCGAAGAGTCTCTATGACAAATCGTCTGTAACCCCAGCCGTGGAAGTTCCTACTGTCCAGGTTGAGCATCTTGCCGACCAGGCCCAATTCCTCTTGCCAAAATCGACGGGAAATCGAAGCAGGAAGAAGACGCTTGGCTTCGTCTAAAAGCCAGACGCGGTAGTTCCAAATCCAGTAGCACTTAGGAAAACTCTTGAGCAAGGGAATAAGAAACAGCAAGTCGCTTTTGATCAAGGAAGCAATCTGTTCTGCTGCCGTTTCGTTGGAGTTGCTAGATTCTGCACGCGAGAATTCGCTTCGCAGGACTTGACGACGATAATTCCATATCGTGTAATACTCAGGGTTGCTGCTTAGCAGTTCGGATATCTTCTGTAGAGTTTCTGGTGTGTACTGCTGTGCCGCAATCTGATCACCATCGTTAGGTCACGCTTGCCACATAGAGATGTACGATTGCATAGACGCACCTTTTCTCGGACTGATCGTTCGAGTTCTCGATACTTTTCGATCTTGCGAAGCTCTTGTTGGCGAGCTTCTTCAGTCCGCTCCCCTCTCCGCGCGTATCGCGGAATCCCATGCTGTAGTTGCACACGAGGTCAGTTTGATGTGCGCGAATGAGCCAGCAAGAATAGGTACGTCACTTCAGCCATTATAGATCAAAAAAGACTTTTTGAGATGCTTCGTCGTCCAGAAGGAGTTGCAACTGGGATGACGGTCACTAAGGTTATCGATAAGAGATGACCTCGGAGCGAGTGAGTATGTGAAGCGACGAGTCCCTGGTTGCCTTTCCAGGCGAGCCGCAGCCACTTTCCTTATCTAGACGAGTCACGTGTCATATTCTATACAACCATTGTACTTTGCATTCATCGGAGGTAACATGGTTAGTCTCTTCTCTCTGACTATTGCCAACTATCGCTCCGCCATGCTGTTCTTTGGCAGCATGGCAATATATCGATAAGAGAGCTCCGGCTCATTTCTTGGCTTCACGAACTTTACCAAAGACACAATAATTATACAGCGTTCTTTATACATCTGGGGACTATCATCCGCGCACCCTCAACTGCTTGTTGTCTCAAATTGAGGCAGAGAGAGCAATGACCTTAAGCACTCGCTCATCGCGAAGCTCAATGCTGGCAAGCTCTCATTCCCATTCGGATCCTTCTATACCCAATTCATCGGCCAATGGAGGTCGGCGAGTACCATCATTTCACCTGTGTGCGAGTGCCCCATCACTGCTGGAGCCCGTCACTCATTCCAAACTCAATATACATACTCCTCTACCTGGGTCAAAGAAACTGCAAGATGCTAAGAGCTTCGAGTTCTCTCCTCTCAACCCGGGAAACAGGCTTTCGTCCGCCCCTCATGCACATGCTTTGAGGGCTTCAGACCACGCGTTGTCTGCCTTAACAACAGGGCCAACTAGGAAAACTCGATCCAAAATCAGACTTCCCGTGGACTACAAGTCATCTGACTGCAGTATGAGATGTGAGCTGCCTGATCGATATATTCCCTTGCGAGAGTCCAATTGCGCGCCCACAACACCATTTCATATAGTGAAGAAACCGCGAGAGTTATCGCCAGAGGAGAAGCTACTGCGACGACGACCGCCTAGAGATGACCCGTTCATGCCGTCACACCTTCCAAGATACTTCAGCGGTTCCAAGATAGCGTCAAATCGCATTTGCAGCACTCACTATCGTCCTCACCTTGTCGCCGAGCCTGCCTTTACTGGGAGTGATCCGTCCTTCCGCGACTCCAGAGACATCTTGAGACAAATCAGCTCTGGAGCTGTCTGGAATGTTGGAGGAAACTCTGCCGCCTTGGGTCGAGCATCTACGATAGTCGCTCGTGGCTCGGGCTCTCCTTTCGCCAGTGGCACTACTGCTCCCATGTTTACTGCTAAATTCTTACCCCAGAGTGCGGCGAACGAGGAACGCGAGAAACACAAATCCAGGGTGGCACTTGCTTTGGACTTTGATCCAGCAACGAGACTTATACAAAGCAGTAGGCCCTGGTCACCGCTCCGCGGGTTGCCGAATCCAGCTTCTTCGAACTACGAGAGATTCTCTCCCTTTGTGTGGAAGGATAACGCCTGGAAACGGAATGGGAGAGACCTGTGTAAGTCCCAGTTCTGCTCACAAGGTCGACCGAGTGCTTGTATTGTTTTGCATTGTTCTAGCAACGAAGCTCCTGGTAGACAGTTGATTATCTTTGTCGTCCTTTGATATCTATTTTGGGCCTCTCAGAGTCCCGAGACCTATGACTGACCATTGAGCCCACTGTCAGGGATGCCTGTATCCAAGCCGAGTAAGCGAGTCGTCCCCAATCGTCCATTTCGCATTCTAGATGCGCCCCTCCTCCGCGATGACTTTTATTGCTCAGCATTGGCGTATTCATCCACATCCGGTATTCTTGCTGTCGGTTTGGGTCACCGCGTGTATTTGTGGTCCGAAGATCTTGGGGTACAGCATCCTCCCCTTAGCGATCAGCATCCCTCCAACTACGTGACATGTTTAGCATTCTCCTCTGACAATGGCGGCAAAAGTATACTGGCTGTTGCAAGACAGTCGGGGATGTTATGTTTGTGGAGTGTCTTCGACGCTGAGGTCCGATTTGAGATTAGCCATCCTGAGAGCATTACATGTGTGGCATTCAAGCAAACCAAGTCCCGCAGAACATCAGAACGATTCCGCAATATGGAAGTTGATGTCGAGGATCTGGCTGTAGGAGATGATCTAGGGAACATATGGTACTACTCAGTGGAGTGGCCTGATGATGAGATATGGGACCGATATGACTGGAACGGAGCCATGACCTTGCTCGCCAAGATAGCTGCTCACACACAGCAGATCTGTGGAATCAGTTGGTCACCGGATGGCTCTTTTCTTGCAACAGGGGGTAATGACAACTTTTGTCTGCTATTTGAGCTCCAGACTATCCTTCCTCCGCGTGAACTCAATCTTTCGCTTCAAACTGATTCGTCATATCGTTCCTCACACCAATCCGCGGGCCAGTCAGGTCAGTCAGCAGGCACAGAAGGCACAGGTTCGCTCTCTAATCTTACGACAGAGGCCGGCAGGCTCCACCACCGAAGACGCAGTCTCATCAGCAACCTGCTTCCACCCTGGGCCTTGTCATATGTTAGACCTTTTACCACATCCCTGCTGAACCATACGGGGTCGTTGATCTCCGGTGGTGAAAAAACAATCATGGTTCCAGCCAACCGTCAAAAACATCGACTAATCCATGGGGCGGCGGTGAAAGCGATTGCATTTGCTCCTTGGCAACCATCCCTCTTGGCCACCGGGGGAGGATCCAACGACCGAACTATCCACTTCTACCACGCCCCGACGGGTGCATGTCTGGCCACAATTCATGTATATGCACAAGTGACGGGCTTGATTTGGAGCAAGACCAGGCGGGAGATCGTGGCTACGTTCGGGTTCGCCCAGCCAGAGCACCCCTACCGAATTGCGGTATTCGCTTGGCCGACTTGTGAGCAAATCGCTGCAATTCCTTGGGGGCCGCACGGAAGCAGCTGGGAAAGCGCAGATAATGACCTCGTGGTCGATTGCGGGCGGGCACTCTGCGCTGTCATTTACCCTGGAAGACCCCATATTTTTGAGCATGAAGCTTCGGACGAGGCTAGAGACGAGGGCGTGTCGAGCACAGCAAATCAAGACCGGTTAGCCGGGCAAAGCCGATATCAGCCGAGTCAACGTCGTATGAGTCGCGCCTTTGTACGGCCGCGCGCTAAGGAGGGAGGCCTATGGTGTTCGCGCACGATGCACGAAGGCTGCATCATCGTAGCTTCCAGCGATCAAAGCGTCAAATTTCATGAGGTGTGGAGCGGATCTAAGCGAAGCACAGCTGCAGTGGCGGGCTCTTTTGGGGGCAGGGGCATCCTTGAGGGTTTGGAAGGTCTAGAGAAACCGGGGGATGAAATCATTCGTTGATACCAGCGATCCTGATACCAGTGCGACGTGGATTGCGAAGCTTGCCGTAGGTGCATAACATTATTACAACCCGCTAACTACTAAATTGTAGTCACCCGTTATTCTTTCAATGAGGTCTCTCTGGCATGTATACCTCACGGAGGATGGGAACCCTCCTGCCTGTGGAATCGGACCGGGCCGACGATCCTTGCTGCATGGGTTTTGTTCATACATCAATAGCGCGTCTAAACTGACTCAAGCCTTTTTCACCACGATCTTGCATTCCGGAACCAATGATCATCAGTAGACTTACTTGGAATGAAGAGCCCCCTGTGCTTTGAGTTCAATTACTCGGATATTTTCAGCCGTCGGGTGGCACGTAATCCGAAGCAATATTTTTATCATATATGTAGCTCATCACCTACAGCATCCTGCCTCTTGTACTCCGTACAGTGCTCAGTACTACAGCATCAACCACTCTATTTCCCTCCATACCCATCAACCTCAATCGAGCCTTGCTTCGGACCTGCAACCATCCACAATGGGCGTATTCACCACTACCACTACCACTACCGACCTTATCTCAAGCATCCTAGCCCTCAGCACCACTGCCCTAGCATCAGCAGTAGCAGCCACCGTCCCCACCACCACCACCACAAACACTACAACGACTATCAGTACTATATTCCCCAGCACCCTCAACATCACCACCCTCACAGCCCACAACAACCACTCCGTGCTCGAATGCTGGGCCCTCCAACCGGGCTATTCTCTCACCTCCGAGGCCGGGGTCTCCGGCAACGCCGTCCTCAACCTCGGCCGCATCACCGGCAACGCAACCAACATCCTCATCCCCGCCCACTATGACGGCGGCCAACACAATGCGCCCGCGCTGCAGTATGTTTCTTCCCCTCCCCACCCAACAACCCCTTTCGCCCACAATCCAAATAGAACATACAAGCATTGCCACGAATACAATCCCTTTCTCCATTGACTACCTCACTACCTCTTAACTCCTCACCCTCCTCCCATGGATTCGGTCCGGGTCACGAGTCGCGTGTACTGTACTGTCCCTAAAGTAACATCATGACCAAAAAACAAACCAGATGGGTGCTTTTCCTCTCCGGAATAGCGCATATCACGCTCCCGACCTCCGCGGATGAGGCGTGGGTGACCGGGGGCAAGAACGGGGCGATCCTGGCGCTAGATACTAAAGAGGTGAGCGCGGAGGGCCATGCGACGACGTATCCATCCGGCGAGATGACGGTGGCGGTGGAGGTGCCCTTGTCGGAGGTGCCGGCGCATCGGGTGGTGCATTCGGGGGCTTGTGAGGAGAGGGGGGAGAGGCTGGGTTGATTAAGGTTGATGATCTGTTGGCTATGGGATGGTCTGTCACGTGGTTGGGGGAGATATATATGTTCTGGCCGGGTGAAGAACGATGATTGATATATTCACACTAACCCCTTCTTCCCTCCCACCCCTGTTTTTTTGGCTCAGGCCCTAATTCTAGCATGCGACAAATGGTGGGAAACTCGAGGTGAAAACGACAAACAAAATCCCAGTTGGAACCAATCAGAACATGATCCTTTACTCGTAACTCAACACATCCCGCCCTCCCTCTCTCTCTGTACTTTTTTTTTAGGCTGATGGCAATAATAAAACACCCTGGGAGAATGACACCAACATTACTGTTGCCGCTGCTGCTGCTGCTGAAGAACGGGGGTATAAAATCTAATGGTAGGAGAGGTAGGTGACGTGGTAGAAGATGGGATGACAAGGTGATGAGAGTGAACAAAAAAAGAGAGAGCCTTTGATCTATCGCCTATTTTCTGCCTGCCTTCTTGCCCTTGCCTCGTCCACCACCGCCACCGCCGGTCAGCCGGGCCTTCTTGGAAGGTGGAGGCTGAGGAGCGGAAGTGGCCTCGTCATCAGACTCTTCCTCGTCCTCCGTGTCTGCGATGAAGTCCACCATGGAGCCGACGCTCTCGGCATCCTCGGCATCCTCGTCTTCATCTTCTTCGAGGGACTCCTCCGCATCCGAGGAGCCAGCGGACTCTTCCGCCTCGACATCGAGGATATTCTCGTCCTCGTCCTCCTCTTCCTCGCTGCCTTCTTCTTCATCCTCGGAAGAGTCTCCACCGTAGTGCACGCCGTTCATCATCGACTCCTCCTCGTCGTAGGTCTGGTCGCGTATCGACTTGGTGCGGGGTGTGACGGTGTTCTTGTTCGCCTCGGCGTCGCTGTCCTCGTATTCCTCCTCCTGTCCCTCCACGTAAATGATGTTCTCCTCATCCTCGCTGTCCATGGCCTCTTCGCCATTGTGGATCGACCGTCTCAATCCGAGCTGGGCGTCCAACATATCGAGTTTGCCCTTGAGCAGGAGCAGCGAAGGAAGGCTTGAAGAGCGCTGCTCCATGACCTTGAAGAGGGTCGACATCCGCTTCAGAAGCTCGGGCTTACTAGCAAGAGCCCCACCGTGCGCAACGCAGGTCCATTGAACCCAAACGAGCAGGTGCCCGTAACGACCGGGGCGACCGGAAAGGCGCTCTGCGAGTTTCTGAAGGAGAGTGGCTGCCAGGGACGAGTCGAGGCGTTGGATGGTAGTGCGGATGATAGAGAGGTCGCCGGTGTGGAAGCATGACTCGAGCATAGCGGTATCGTTGGTCTTAAGAGACTGAGTGAGAACGGTGGACAGTGACACGCCCGAAGGGATTTGCTGGATCGCGGCGTTTGGCTTTCCGGGAATCAGGGATCCCATATGCACGTCGTCCTCGAGCTCGGCTTCGACGTCAACGATTTCCTGGTTAGCGCGCACAAGCTCACCGAAAGACGGCTCGCCAGTCTCCTCCTCTTCGTCCTCGGAGCCCGACTCTTGCTCATTACCCATTTCAACATCGCTGTCCTCCTCCTCCTTCTTCTGCAACTGCTTCGGGGGCTTCTCGTTGTCGGCGTCGGAGTCGGACTCTTCTTCGCTGTCGGCCTGGGAAGCAGCATCTTCCTTAGAATCTTGCATTTCAATGTCATCTTCAATGATGTTTCCCTGCTCTACCGTGGCCCTGGACTGGTCGACATCGTCTTCTCTGGCGCTTCTTGTTCCGTTCGTGGTGACGGAACCCAAGACTCCGCCAGTCTTGGTTCTAGGAAAGGTCCTAGTGCCAGTGAATAACACCTCATCGGTTTCCTCATCGAGCCATTGGATCCGCTCGAAGACAGGAACGACACCACCGTCGGCCCAGACAACAACCAGGTCGGGGCCTTGGAACGTCGCTGCCACAACTGACACAGGCGCCTCGGAAGTAGCAGACATGGTGACCTTGATCGATGCCTCTGCTCTCCTGATGGCCTGCTTAGATCTGGCCCTCTGCTGAGCAGCACCCTTGGCAGAAGTCTGCTCAACGGGCGTTACGAATGGCCGCGTGAAGAGTTCAATCGTGCCATCCTCAGTCACAGCGGCGAGAACTTGCTTCTCTACCGGTAGAGCATCGCCGCTCTTTTCGGCGCCGGTATACAAAGCTAGGGAGCTCACACCCTGCTCAGCCACAAGGTTCATGACAAGTCCCTGTTTCTCGGCATCGAAGACATTAATGTAGCGATCACTATCGGATACGAGGAACAGTCCCGTCCCTGCAGACTCTGCTGAAGATGTGAAGATTTGTCTGATAGGATTGCGCATAGCATCGAACGACACAGGCGGTTCGTCCTTCTCGACGCTAACAATATACGGCGTTTGCGAGGCGCAGATGACATGGGGGTTAGAAGGAAGAGGACGCGAGAGTGTATTATATGTCGACGTGGAAGGTAGATGGACGGTTCTGAAGATATGATTAACCGAAAGAATGACCTTGGTGAGAGGTGACTTGGGCTGAATTTACCTTGTCTTCTGTCCGGTGCGGAGGTCCCACTGCACTAGCTTGCTATCTCCGCCAATGCTCCAACCCTCCTTTCCGGGCCGACTGGTACTAAACTTGAAATCTTTGATTCCCTTGTCGTGTCCACCGGCAAGCGTGCCGACAATCTTATCATCGACAGGCGAATACATTCGGATCTCAGAGATGTTGGTTCCAAAGGCGACGACGACATCGCCCTGATCGAAAGCGCCCCCATTGATATCGGAATTCCTCTTTCTCTTCTTCTTCGATTGATCCTTGTCCTTCTGGCGACCGGCGAAATAACCCCAGTCTAATGAGGTCACAATCTCCTTGGGGCCCAAAACATGCTCGCACTGTAACCGTCCTGTGTTCGTATCGTGAATGCGGAGATGCTGAGCACCAAGGCCTTGAATGACCGACGCGAAGAGTGTCAGTTGGTACTCTGATGGAGCGAAAGACGCCTTCAAGATTGAAGACTGATTTCCGATCTGTGTCGATCCTGTTACCGCGGGCGACGCAGCGGAGGAAGTTTTCGAAGCGGCCGGGCGAGACGCTTTCTTGGCCATTTTGGATGGACTCGGCGGGTGGAATCAAGGCGATAAATGGAAATGTATCCGTGTCGCGAAGAAGGTAGCAGAAGGCGATAAAGAGCCTAACCCCACAGCAAATTCGAGCGACAACTTCTTGACTCTGAAAGACTGTTGTGCTGGTCGACCGTCGCCGACTTTCTGGACCCAAGTTGAGGTTGCTGAAGAGGAAAAAAAAGTTCTGTAGAGATGCGCTTGGCCTGTTGCGGTTTAGCCGCCCGTGATCGAGTTCCGCTCCGGGTGTCTTATCTAATCCTCCGCTACAGCCAAGCACAATTGTACGGAGGAGTGAGGTGCCGGTACGTAGCCTTCTTCCTCTAATCAACTTCTTGTCCCACAAAGTCTTACGTGCAGAGAAGAATGGGCCGGAAAATGATACCCTGGTATACTTTTGATACTACTTACGGATGTTAATTTCCATGCAATGCTTTTCATTCTCACCAAAAGTCATCAACAGCCTCAAACCACACTTACCGTGTAGTGTCTTGAGAGCCAAAGAGCCCCCCTGGAAGACAGACCATTCCCACTTCCAACATATCTCGACCCCAAGCACCGATGCTTTCGATGAGATTAGTGGAAAGTCTTCGCTTCGCTGTCCTTTCATTTTTCCCTGTGATCACCATCGCAGTTACTCGCGCTGCCAGGGCGGCAATTCCCGGGTTACCTGCCAACAGCCAAGTTGGTCAGATTAGCCATGCTTACAGCAACAGATGTGCCACAGCCTTCAGATTCTCAACTCCCTCTTCAACCTGTGAACAAAAATCCTCAGCTGCTACAAGACATGACCGACCTGATGGAGCAACCCAACAGTACGGCTAATAAAAACAACAGGCGCCATGGTTTGTGAACGGCTGCCTAGACGAGTCATCCTTTCGAGAAGCGCCGAGCGACCGGGAATCGATATGTGTCATACTCATCGAAACCCATGACCTTAAGGCGTCATGCCCTCGGTGAGGTCCAGCTTCTGATTTGATGATAGTGGTGGGAACCTCTACGAATCTCTCACCTCCACGACACAAACGCACTGTTTCCAACTCATCGATGCGCGTTCTTATGAGCATGACAAATCCGTTAAATCCGCTGAATGCTCGGAGCTGGCCACTGGGAGATTTGATTTGCAACGACCCAAGGGGCTGGTTACATCAGCATTCGGACTAAACCGGATGCGATGCAAGGGAGGGCTCAGGGCTCAGCCCTGGGGTTACACCAGGTCAGCAGACCAACACATCCTGGCTTCGGGCGGCCAGCAGGTCTGTAAGCTTCACATTAGATCCATGATGCATCCTCCCACCGCTGAAGGCCTAACATACTTTAATCGGGTATGTCATATCTGATCTCACTTGGCCGAGGTACCATAGTGATGTATCTTTCCGATTGACTCACAGGGTGCATATCGGTTGTCCCACCTTTCAGTGATTTGGATCAGTTGCTTTTGTTTCTGAAGGTGCCGTCCTCATCCATCACTCACCGAGTGGACAACCTCGAAACCTTTTTTTTTTTTTTTTTTTTACCATTACACTCTCTGTCTTGGTGTCTGGCTTCGAGGATGTTTCCAACAAAGACCAGGGTTGGATACGACCAATAGTAACCAGAAATCCGTCGAACGCGTCATCGGCGAGCCAATGAGGAGTTGTAGAATGGCTTGAACTAGATAAATTGGGACTAGCGTAGCGGATGGAGTTAGCGGCAGAGAGCGGACGGGCGCGACGCGGCCGTTCGTACTTAAGGATTCTAGCACCCCCTCCGACTTTCTCTGTCTCTGTTTCTGGAGCTGAGAGCTGAGAGCTGCGCGCCGGTCACGCTTTTCCCCTACTTTTACCACCACACCACCACCCCAATTCCCTCCTCCCGTCTTCTGACCGCCCTCCACCTCACTCACCTTTCTCTGCTTCCTAAGCTGTTGCAGCCTGTATTATCCTCGGTTGCCCCTGGATATTACTCACGCGTCTTGTATCGCGTCGCGCGCTCACCCGTTCGATCCCAGCCACAGCTACCTACTGCAGCTGCTTATTTTATTTGGGATAAATTTATTTTATTTTTTCTTTTTTTCCCTTGGGGCTTTATTATTTTCACCTTCCCCCTTTCTTATTATTATTAGCAACGACTTCCGTCCAAGCTCCCGAACCCAATTCTATCCGTGTCCTTCCCTTTCTCTTCACCAACGCGTTGCCAAAACCTTTCATCGGCCTAAGGCACGAACAAGGGCACGTGTGTTGAATGACGCTTGAACATCTCAACAACTCCAGGCCTTCAGTGACTTTCCCTTGATTGCCATCTTATCTCAATTCCTCTTCATTTCCCTTTTCCCATACGGTTCTGATATCGTTTTCTTTTACATCCGTCTGGCGCCGCTGCCATCCGCTTAGCTAACCCACGCTTGCCGCCCACGTGACTGCTGCATTTACCGCTCGCCGCCTCTTGGCGATATAAGTACTTGCTCAGTGCCTTGTCGCATTCTCCACATTTGCGACCCGCGCTAATCTTCATCCTTTCCTGTATCTGCTACAACTCCCGTGGCGTCGCATCAAACTGGGACTGCTCATTCAACCGGTTTTCCCTTCTGTCATCTGTCATCTAATCAGCTTACTTGCTCTCGCCCGCTTATCGAATCCATTCATTAGTCTGTGATAGCGCAGAGTGTTACCTATTCAGTTGATTGTTGTTGCCGTCGCTTCCTAAAATCCTTGGGTAACTGAGACTCCCATCGGAATCACCGCCTGCTTAGATTTATTGTATCTCGGCCACCCCAAGGCGGGCTTTTCTTCACAGCGACCTCAAATGGCGACGCCGCCTCCGGAGGCCCCTTCTGACTTCAAGGAGGAGAAGCCTCAACTGCCGCCGTCGCCCAATGGAGTCTCGCCTGCCGGTGTCGATCGCACAAGGTACGTATCTTCGCAACCTCACTTGTCATTGTTTACGTCTCGTCGCTGACCATCTTTGTAGTTCCCAAGATGCTGTAGTCAGTGTCAAGCCCGATGCGCCCGTCAACGGTGCCGAGAAGCCCTCGGAAGACACGAAATCCGCTGCTGTCAATGGTCATGGTGCCGAACAAACTGCCGTCGCAAACGGTCTATCTGCAACAGCTTCTCCACCCAAGTCGCCTTCTCTGCCGAGTACAGACACACCCACACAGCCAGCCGTCGCGTCCGAAGATAAAAAACCTTCAAACGTGGATTCAGTTGCGACTGGCGAGGGAGACAAGGCTACTGCAAGTAACAGCGCATCTGTTACTGAGAAGGCTCCGCTCACGGGCGCGGACACTCTTAGTCCCAAAAACACACAGGCGTCACCGGATACGTCAAAGCCATCAACTGATACGTCCGATGCCAAAGTGAAGAGCACTGCACAGTCATCACGGAATATTGGATCTGTGAAAACAGAACTTCCCCACCATCCTTCCACCAGCCCGTCTAAAAGCGATGCTGCCAGATCTATTCCTGCAGTGACGCCTCTCCCAGGCGTTGACCACGAAATGCGTGACGCCCCGGTGGTTCCAGCATCCCCGACGAAGGTGACGAGGGAGCGAGAGACTGATCATGGTGATGAACCCGCTGCTAAGCGAACCAAGTTTGGCGGAGAAGGCGCGTCGTCAACCGACTTTAAAGTTCCTAGCGCACCTACACCGGCTCATGAAAGCCGCTCCGCTGGCTCGAGCAATGGATATGGTGGGATCACCAAGATTCAACACAAATTCTTGCTCAAGTCGATTACGAGCCTGAAACGCATGCACGACTCGCGATTCTACCGAGAACCCGTGGATCCGATTAAATTGAACATTCCCCATTATCCGCAAATCATCAAGCAGCCAATGGATCTAGGAACCATTGAACGGAAGCTCAAACTGAACGAGTACAGAAGCGCACAGGCTGTGATTGATGATTTCAGACTGATGTGCCAAAACTCCTTAACCTTCAACGGCCCCGATCACTTGGTCACAATTGAGGGTCAGAGACTCAGAGGAACTTTTGAGAAGCAGATGCACAATCTTCCCAGACCTGATGAGCCGGAAGAAAAGAAGGCAAAGAAACTCCCTCCCAAGACGTCGGCAGCCCGTCGAGAACCTCGGGCGGCGCCGAGCCCTGGTACGGCACGTCCTACCGGCAACTCTCCTCAGTCCACTACTTTCGCTCTAGGCCCGGAGGGTTTGCCACTGATTCGTCGTGACTCTGCTGCCAATGCAGATGGTCGTCCCAAACGCTCCATCCACCCCCCCAAGCGTGATCTTCCCTACGCTGCAAAACCGAAGAAGAAGAAATACCAATGGGAGCTGCGCTTCTGCACCGAAGTATGCGAGGAAATGTACAAGCCCAAACATTTCAACTACGCCGCGCCTTTCTACTATCCTGTTGACCCCGTCGCTCTCAACATCCCTACTTACCACAGCATCATTAAGAAACCGATGGATCTATCTACTGTTCAGACCAAACTGAAGGCTGGTCAATACGAGAACGCCAGGGAATTTGAGTTAGATATGCGCTTGATCTTCAAGAATTGTTTCAAGTTCAATATCCCCGGCGATCCCACATATGTTGCCGGCCAGCGTCTGGAAGAGATATTTAACCAAAAATGGGCCCAAAAGACCAGGTATCTCGAAACTCACGAACCTCACCCTGAGCATCAGAGCGCTGCAGAGTCTTCCGAGGAAGAGAGTGAAGAAGAGGCAGAGGAAAGTGATTACGATGCGGAAAAACTCAGTCTGCTGCAGAAGCAAATGGAAGAGATGTCTCGTCAGATCGAGGCCATCACCCAGAAGAAGAAGAAGACTCCTCCTGGCTCCAAGAAGATCAGCAAGTCCAAGCCTCCCTTGAAGAAGGAGGTCAAGAAGCCTGGAAGTGTAAGCTCGAGCAATGTCAAGAAGGACAAGAAGATCAGCACCAAGAGTACCAAGCCTGAGAAGCAGCGCTGGGTCACCTACCAGGAAAAGCAGATCATTTCCAATGGGATTAGTAGTCTTCCCGACAAGAAGATGCAGGAAGCGCTCAAGATTATTCAGAGCAACGTCCCGGCTCTTAAGGTATGCTATCCCTCCTTTCCTTAGCCGTGAAGACGGGCCGTGAAGCTAACATTTGCAAAAGGGTACACAAGAGACAGAGATTGAGCTTGATATCGATGAGCTTCCCAACGAGGTTCTTGTGCTCCTGCTTCGCTTTGTCAAGAAGAACGCGCCTCATGTGATGGAGGATGAGGAAGTTGCAACTCCCACTGCGGCGACTTCCACTACGACTGCTGCCCCAAAGCCCAAGAAGAACAAACCCATGAGCAAGTATGAGCAGGAGGCGCAGATCAACATGCTCGAAAGCAACTTGTCGCGCTTCTCGCAGGGAGGTGGTGGCCGCTCACCCGACCCTGTCCCCTCCGTCGAGGCTAATGAGAGTAGCGATGATTCGGAAGATGATTCTGAGGAGAGCGAGGAGGAGTAAGTGCCTGCCAGGCAGGAAGTCTACCATTTATCTACCATGGGGCTTTAGCCGACGGTGGTATACGCTCCTGCCACCTGAAGGCATTGCTAGTCTCATCTCTCACCATCGCACACCCTTTACTCTTGTTTGTCTTTTTTGCCATGTTCTCCATACAATAATGAGCTACCGTTCGTTTCCTAAGTCACTTCTCTTTTTTTTTCCCTAGCGACCCCTTTGACATCTGGAGGATGGCTGGATGTGTTTCTCGGACTCTCCAAAACTGTACATAAGGCGAGGCCGGGGGATGCGCCTGGTGATCCGGATAAATGTCGACCGCATAGCGTGACAATATTGGAAGATTGAGTTTGCTTTCATTGGACAGTCGTCGGTTTAGCCTTGAGCTGGCGAAACGACCAGTTTTCAGGCAACGGTGATTGGATTCATTGAGCAAAGCGTGGTGGGAGTGGTGAGGGTTTGTGTATGATTACGAAAGAAACGTGAAAACGGAAGCGATTGCGAAGCATTACTTGTGCTATACAGGCCACGTTGGTCTTCAAATGAACATTTTCTCCTTTCGTAATTGTATGGAACTGTCTGGAGTAAACCCTCCATGTCGACCGGCCTCTGTTGGGAGCTTTGAAGGACGGCCTCGTTGCCTGGCACAGGGCGGTGAGCCGCTCAATGTCGCTGCGGCCCGGGAGGTCCAACTACTACCCCAACAAGACAGAGCAAAGTAAACATCCTCACAAATCCGCCCCCCGCAATCGCTACCCCAACGATGATCCCGCCGTGCGACCCAGTCATTCTTGAGAACAACCCCCAATTCAAACATCTCTACGAACAAGTGACTACAAAGTTTCTCAACCCGGATGGCTCGACGCGCGCCAATGATGCACAGCCGGCAAGAACGGCACTTTTGGAAGTATGTCAGCATGGTAGTCCGCGATAACCTTACCAGCTGTTCCTCTAAACATGGCGTTATGCTACGAACTAGGAATTAAACGACTGTCGCATCCGCGATGCAAGGAAGAAGATCACAAAGCAGACATTGCGACGACTGGCATTTGATCCCGATAGCGAGCTCCCGGACGAGGTAAGGGAGCGGAGAGACCCCTAAGCATGCTGCTGCTGCATGTTGCCATTATGCGCCACTGACATGAAACGGTGGATTGTCATTTCTCGAACAAAAGTATCGAGACCCCGCAGCGATCGTATACCTCTACCTCGAATCCCGCCCCGATGTGATCAACCTTCCTGCCGACAACGACGATCAGCCCGACACCGACACCGCCCTTCATCTCCTCACTCCAGACATCGACCTATTCTACTCCAGCCTCCCAGACCTTGTGGAGCCTTTTTCCCGCATATTGCTGGCCGACCTTTGCGATCTACGTGCAATCACAGAGGCAGGAGCAGATCCAGATGAACCCGCCGCCGCCGCTTCACCCGCGGAAGGTCCTCGGACACGCGCCCGCACGCGCCAGACAACAACCGGCAGCAGAAGAACCGCAGCGCAGCAGATCACACTCTCCTCGCGGCTGGACAAGCGCATCCAGGCCCTGCGCCATAGACAATTGAGCGAATTACCCGCAGCGCGAACCCGCATGGCTGCGACCGCTGCCGAAGTTCTGGCGACGCGGACTGCGGTGTTAGAACGGACGGTGATGCTTCTTGAACGGGCGAAGCATGGGGCACTCGCTCGGGCCACGAAGGCCAAGGCAGAGCATTTGGCCACGGTCGCGCAGGGGCTGGAAGGCAGGCTCAGGTATGTCATTCTGTCTCTCCGATTTCATGGAGGCTGGATTTATGTCTTTGGAGGAAATGGTCAGGCGGGGGCTGACTGCAACTTATTTTGATCTATCAGTGTTATGAAGCTAGAGGTTTCGGCCACGATCCATACTCCGGAGGTTGTTGCGGCGCTGGGTCGGTATTGGGATCATCTTGAGGATACGCGGGAGCGTCTGGAAGAGAGGCGTGCGGAGGTACTGGGGGAACTCAAAGCGTATGGTCTTGTGGCAGAGGATGAATCCGGTAGAGGAGAGGGTGCGTCTGAAGATTCAATTCGCTCCGAGCCCGAAACCATGGGAGAGGTATATCGCCGATGCTGGACTTTGATGCGAGAGGTTGAGCGGGTGAGAGGCGAGACACGGCCGATGGCCGAGACGCGGTAGAGTGATGGTTGATGATTGTTTGACATGATACCCTATTTCACATTAATGCAAATACCACGTATGCTAGTCTCATCTCTTGTCTGCGAAGGTGTCAAAGGTACCTAGTAGTCTATTAGTACCTATTCAGGTACAGTGGTGATGGCCGCTGTACTGTACCTGACGATAACCAATCAGCCACCCCGCAATCAATCGATTAATCACCTGACTCGGTCCCGCCAAAAGTTTTCCCATTGCGATCGATAACTGGAACTAAAAGGAAATAACTTTGATCTCCAAACTGAACAAAATCAGCCCCCTCCCTCTTCCCCCAAGAGAATATACATCAGTCAACCCAATACCCGATCCTCTCACAAAACTCCATATCATATCCAAAATGGCCGACGACGCGATCTCCATCTACGACGAAATCGAAATCGAAGACATGACCTTTGACCCCAACCTCCAGATCTACCACTACCCGTGCCCGTGTGGCGACCGGTTCGAGATCGCGATCGACGACCTCCGCGACGGCGAGGATATCGCCGTCTGTCCTAGTTGCAGTCTGATGATCCGGGTGATTTTTGACGAGGTGAGTTTTTTTTGCTACGACATCCATACGTTAGGCAGGCTTGTGGCTAATTTGTGATCCTCTTCTCCATGCAGGCTGATCTCGTTAAGGATGACGATAAGAATGGGTCCGCGGGCGCGGTTGCCGTTCAGGCTTGAAGGGTCCTTACTTAGTTGTTACCGATCAGCGGAATCAGAGCGCTTTTTCTTTCTGGCAGACTGCGACTCGATCGAGTTGAGTATCAATCAGAGGGGGAACGGCTGCGCGGGATGAAAAATGGCCTTGTCGATCTCGGGTTCATAAATCATATGCCCAGTGGTCTGTTATGCTGGGATGGTTCGTTGTGAGAGGGGCGTGCGGTCACGCCTGAAGCGAGCGTCATCGGCCGTGCAGGCTTGTACTCGCTCAACCGTCCTGGAGCTGGTTGGGCTGCGATGACTGTGGGCAGTCACGACTGGGTCCACACATATGGCCTGCCCCAGCATGGACACCCATCGACGCACAGCGGGTCGCCAATTCTGGTCGCAAACACTGGGTGGCCGGACGGCAAGCTATTCTCTCGTCCTGCGCAAACCTCTCAATCACAATTTGGTCGCACAAGCCAATCAAATGCCACTCACCGGCTTGGAGAGCAGGAATACACAGCCTACAGATGTGCGCAGCAAGCGGATCATCTCAGCTCATCTCGAAATCGTATATAAATTGGTCTAGCGGTAACTTGACAGTCGAAATAATGAAAAAAAAGCAAAGTCTCCAGAAATTCTCCCTAGCACAGTCAATAATTTACATGACTCCTTTCTTATAGTAAAAACCACCTCGGAAAATCATCTCTTCAATGCAACGAAAAACCCATATATTCCTGATAATGATTCACCGTCGCACTAATCCAACTCACTGTAAATATCCTTCGGCAGGTTCAAGGTCAATTCATGGTTCAACAGATCGGTCAGATTCGTGCCGTCGCGCAGATAGATCCACTGCCCATTGACGAACGGCCGAGAGTCCTGCTTCTCATGCATCTGGTCGCCCTCGAGCACCCAGTCGAACCGCTTGGGGCCGGAGATGGGCGAACTCAGCCAGATTTGCTTGTTGGGGGGCTGCTTGTTGAGCACGTATACCCCTACTCCGGGGACGGTGACGTTCATGACTCCGGCCTGGAATATATTAGCGCCACACACACGGGCAGAATGTTAGCTTGAAGCGTGGCTAGGAGCACAGAGGGGTGAAGGTGGGGAAGGGGGAAGGGCCAGAACGCACACTATACTCGGCCTCAATCTCCGAGCCCTCCTCCTGACGAGATTCCACCTCCTCGAGAACGGTGTTCAGGTAGTGCTCGGCGTAGTCATGGTACTGCCCATCGGTCAATGGGGACGGCTCCGAGACGTGGGCGGCGGCGCCGGCGACGTTGTGCGATTGTGGGTTCGGGGCCGCGGGGTCGGCGGAGTCGGGGAAGATGCCTTTGCGGGTTGAGGGAGTGGAGTGAAAGCTTCGTCGCGGAAGAAGGAATCGAGATGTGAAAGGGGTCGATTGCGAAGGCAGGGAAGCAACTGCTGCTGTGGCTGTTGCTGCTGGTGCGAGGTGAGCACCTGCGCCGGTGCGGAGAGCTGGACGAGCGACGGCGGCCACGACGGCGCGGGAGGCACGAGAGTACATGATTGATGATGCTTAGGTGATTGTCTGGTGGGAATTACTAGAGGAGAAAGCAAGACAGATAAGAGAAGAAATGAGCAAGAGGATTGAAGTGAAAGAGCACTAATGCGACTGGCGAAATGGAGAATGGAAAGAATGGGGGGGAGAAAGCGGAGATGATTTCATCACAGCCAGCATAAGGTAAGCTGCCTCGCAACTCTGATTGGATTGGTCTGACGGCAGACGCTCCAAAACTTCCCATCTTCTTTCCACTGCACTCCACCTCGCTGCAATCTCTCCCTCTTGATTTGCTCCATCTAATTCTTTCTTCACTTATTCCTACTTCCTTCGCATTTATGGATGTTGCCTGCTACCGCACTCTGTTGAGTCTTCGCACACACTCTCTTAGTTTTGGATGACGGATTTCGCCGTATCATGCTGGCCGTGTTGCTCAGCTAAGCTTCCTCCATTATCTCGATCTACAATGTCGTTTCGTCAATAGCCATCACCCCCGCACACCGATTCTAGATGCCCGCCTCCCGGCCCACCTTGCGGTATATCACCTCAAGGATAGCACTCCATTATTGTCCTGCCCGTCACTACGCTCGTCCTGAATCTAAGGCTGTCATTGTCAGCCAACGGAAACTTAGCTTGAACCAAGCTTACCACAAAAAGCACATATTCGTGATACCCGTGTTTGAAGGCAGCGCTCTCCAGCAATGGGTGACGGCATACTCCACATTTGGCAACTATCTACCAGGCGGCGTTTTGGGGCCTCGCAATCTCCGCCCGCCCGGCACTCTACATCTGACCGTCGGGATGATGACACTACATACCGAAGCACGCGTTCAAGAGGCCTGTCAATTCCTCGAGACCCTCGATCTTGATGCCATCAGGCGCCTGGCAGATCAAGAGGCCTTCCGACAACTCGTCGGGTATATCCCCGCCGAGCCCTCACAACAAGACAAGTCTTTGGCATCATTCCTCGGCACCCGGCCCCGACCACTCACCGTCTCTTTTGAGAGCCTGGTCGGCTTCCCTTCGCCCGAAGCAGCCCGTCACCTCTGCACGGTTCCTGTCGATCCCACTCTCCGCCTTCACTACTTCTTAATCTATCTCCGCCGGAGCTTCCACCAAGCCGGCTTCCTCTGGGACGATCACAGCGACGAGGACGAGATTTCGGCCTTCCGGCTGGAAGACGATCAGCCGCCTCCTGCCGAGCAACCGGGGGACGAGGAGCTGGCCGCGGAGTCAGCCTCGGCGGACGTGGTTGAAATCGGTTCGGAATCATCTTCCGTGACGAAGTCCTCTTCTTCTTCTCATGAGGAATCACTGGAAGACGTTTCCCGGCTTTCTAAACCAAGCAACGCGCCACGGCCTCCGGCCCCCAAGGACAAGAGGGGATGGAAAGTCCACCAGATACATACCACCTTGGCAAGCACGAGTGTCCGGGTAGGTGATAATGTACTGCAACACGCGGTGGACGTCCGGGGTCTCATCGACCATTTTCGCGACTATTATCTCGATGAAGAGAGGACGATGCCGCGCTGCGAGCAAACCATGGGCGAGCAGTTTCAGTGGGAAACTGATGTCTTCCATGAGTGTTTGGAAGGAGAAGATGGCTACGAGGGTGGACATGTGGAATCGCCTAAGGCCCCCACTGGAAGCGCCCAAGGGACGTCAGGTAGCCCTTTTGTCAAGCCCAATCCATTCGTCTGGGCCAAGAATGTCCGGCTAGAATCACTTCAGCTCAGCCCCGGTGGATACTATGACAAGTGTAATCAATCCACCCCCGTGGGGAAAGCGCGGAGAATGATGCTCAAGGTTATTGCTCAAAGAAGCTTGCTATGATCATACAAGAGAGAATGAGGCCGGGAAGGGAAGGGTTTCATTGGAGATTGGGGGGGGGGGGGGGTTGGTTCAATATACGTCCGGGTGTTTGTATCCCCTCGTATGTACATTCTAGAGCTTCGCCTGAGAGGACATATCTACAGCTCTACTTGCCGGCCTTCCTACAACTGAATGCAGAAACAAAATCTGACCAGTGCTATTTGATTGATCTAAGGAAATGCAGCCTACGTTTCCCCTGTATTTATATAAGGCGATTTATAAGCAACCAACAATACCCAAAACCCTCTTCTCCGGGCTGGACACCCAAACGCCACGCTGGAAACAGACAACCAGAAATGCCACGGCACCGAACAGGCCAGCCGGTTCCTTTCCTGTCCAAGGCCGCAGAGCAAGCCGACACAACACACACACACACACACAGAGAGAAAAACAAAAGCCTCTGGAAAATTCACCGGACCTTGCTCATGAGCGTCTCCATGCCCCGTTCAACCGACAGTTCCGCCGCCTTGGCCTTGATGGCGCTGACCATGCTGCGCTCGAAATCGTCGCGGGTGCGCACGACGGCCTCGACCCAGGAGAGCTGCAGGTCCCAGTACTCGGTCTTGAAGCTCTCGTAGACCGCGACGAGGGCGGGGCCCTTGTCGGCCTCGAGCAGGCGGACCAGCCAGTCGACGAGGCGCCATTTCTGCTTGATGGTGCCGGCGAAGGAGTCCGGGTAGTTCTGGAAGAAGGCGAAGACGGTGAGGACGTCGTCCTTGAACTTGTCGGTGTAGGGGTCAGCGTGGCGACGGAACTTGACGCCGCGGTTGCGTACGGAGGCGAGGTAGCGGACGAGGAGCTCGTCGGAGAGCTCCTCGACGAGGATGTCGATGAGGGACGGGTGGAGTACCGGGGTGTAGTCGGCCATGTAGTCCTCGAAGGTGGAGGTGATGCGCTTGACAGCGAAGTCGCCGTACCACTTCGGGGTGAAGAAGTCCGGGATGGTGGTGCGGAAGTCGACGGCGAAGACGAGTTCGACGAACTGGTTGAGGCAGTGGGTACTGAGGTCGACGTAGCTGTCGCGCAGCGCCTCCAGCTCCGGCAGTGCCCGCCCCGCCATGTACTTGGGGTCCACGATCGTCTCGAAGTCCCGCTTGAACCGCGTCAGGTAGCCCAGCTGGCCCGTCTCCTCGTTGTCGTCGATGCACGCAATCTGGTCGTTCGCGATCGCGATCAGCCAGTCCTGCAGCAGCTGCAGCCCGTCGAGCTGGTCCCCGCCGGGCGCCTTGTACTTGGCGCACTCCTCGTCCACGAGCTCCTGCCACGCCGTCTGGCGGCCCTTCAGCACCGCGAACATGGCATCGATGATCCCCTCCACAACGTCCGTCCGCGACGAGGCCCCCGACGCCATGATCTGCTCGTGCAGCATCCGCCACATGTCGGGGAGCGTCTTGGTCCGGAAGCAGCCCTCCGGGTTGGTGTCCAGCGAGTCCGGGATCCGCTCCACGAGATTCTTCTTCTCGGTTTCGGCGATCCGCTGCGTCCAGTCTTCCACGGCACGGATGATGATGTTCTGCCACTGTCGGATCAGCTCGGGCTCGCGGTCGTCGAGCAGGTTGGGTTGGAGGTCGGTCGGTTGCCAGCCCAGCTTGGCCATCTTCTTGTAGTACTTCTCCGTCCAGTGGATGATGGCAAGCAGATTGTCGGCCGGCAGCTCCGGGTCGTTGATCATCCCGATGAAGAGATCGTGGATCATGCGATGATACATGTTCGTGTACGTTTTGTAGATCTTCCACTTCTTCGGCATCAGCGGCTGCATACCTTGCTGAACCGTGTAAAGATCGTTGAAGAACCACCGGAAGCTTTTGTCCAGATTGTCGGGGTTGGACAGGAACTCCTCCTTGGCCTCTTCGAACTGGTTCTGGGCATAGAACTCAATTGCCTTCAGGAACTTCTCCTTGTAACCCCGCACGGTCTTGGGCCCCACGTTCATCGATTTGAACCGATCGGCCAGGTCCTGGTGGTCCTTCTGCGCCTCTTGCAGCGCACGAACCGTCTCGTCGTTCTTCTCTTCGTTCATAACCACCACCGCCAGCCGAACGACCATGCCCGGGTTGTCCGACTGCACCAGCGGGATGAGGTTCATGCAGGCGGTGCCTAGATGATCATCGAACCAGTCGATGACGGAATCCAGGCCCTGGAAAAAATCCCCCAGCGTCTGCTCACTGCTGGGGTCCTGCGCCTTGCGGATCTGATCCAACGCCTCGTCCCGGAAGTCGCGCAGCCGGGAGATCTGCATGTGGGCCTTCAATAGGTTGGGTTGGTTCTCCAGGTCGTCGTCGTCCTCCCGCAGGAGATCCTCGACCACCGCCAAGTTCTCGCTGAACATCTCCAAACCTTTCTTCATCATGAGCGTCGCCTCGAAGTTCCGCTGCACCTTGGCCAGCTTATCGATCTGCGAGAAGTCCTCTACGCTGTTCTGGGACTCGGCGCACAGCTTGTCGATGCCTTGCAGCTCGTCCTTGGTCTTGGACACCTGCCGCTGGCCCTCGGTGAGCGCATTGATGCTGCGCTGGACGGACTCCAGCTGATCCCGCAGCCCCTCGCGCAGCTGCGCATCGACGGCGCCTTTCTTCCGCGAGTACTCGGCTTTCAGGGCGACGATCTTGTCCAGGTCCTCCGGGTACCGAAGGATGTCTTCCAGTCGGGGCATGGCCACCGTGCCATTGTTGTCTTCGCCTCGCGCCATTGCGGTCGGAGTTCTGTCGTTTTCAATGAAGGCGAGGTGGATTTAGATGCCCGTGTAGACGTGTACCATCAAAAGGGTCGCGATCCGGGAAGCTGGCTCAAGCTCCGAGAGGTACGGGAGGGTTTGCTGCAAGGAGAATGCAGATTATATCGACGTTGAGTAAGTATTCTGACCAAGTAGCTCTGTGTTATATGATGTATCTCGTAAATAAGATTCCAGTGCACCCGCAAGGCTGTATGGTCGCAAGGTGAGATCAGAGGCGACAGGCGACTTGTATAGAACGAACGGAGCAACCCCTCTTGACACGCGCAGCGCTTTAATTATAAGGAATCTATAAGATGATGATGGTATCAGTACCAGAACAGTCTCCCTTTCTATTCACACGGTAAGAATAACACTAACCAATGGCTCATCCTCAAATCTTACCACACAGCTGGGAAATCCCTCTCGTTGTTCTTGCAAAGCTGTTCGATAGCACGGAGTAACTACTCCCCCCCCCGTAATTCCCGCCCGCCGACCGACGCAAGCCCATTCAAACCCCCGGCAGAAAGTCCACATCACGTGATTCTCCGCCTGGCAGACCGACGGAGGAGCGGGAATTTTGCGGCCGGAGCGATCGCGATGGAGCGCAGCGCAGCAGCAACAGCAGCAGCAACAATATTTCCTTCCAGACACGCGATAATCTGTTACTCTTGAGCAATTGAGGCAGAACATACAAAACCCAACCCAAAGGCCGAAGCATTTGCGTAACGAGTCAAATCGAACAACCTCCCTCGCCCGCGTCCCTCGATACCTCCACCCTCCAACAAACCTCCGCAACCCCGAGAAACAATCTACCTCTGACAACCCTCTCTCGAGCTACAACACACCCACCACACAAGAAAACCCCCACACCCCAAAACCCTCACAGCCACCGTCATCACAATGAGCTACTTCCGCATCACCCTCGTCCGCTCCGCCATCGGTCTCCCCCGCCGCACCACCGACGTCCTCAAGGCCCTCGGCCTCAAGAAGCGCATGGCCACCGTCTTCCACGCCGTCTCGCCCTCCGTCGCCGGTCAGATCATGAAGGTCAAGGAGTTGGTCGAGGTCAAGGAGGTGGACAAGCGATTAACGAAGCAGGAGGTGCGCCTGGAGCGCAAGCCCGACCCGGGCTACTACATCGAGAAGTACTCCGGACGGGAATACAAGGAGAACAGAACCGCATGAGATAACAAGGATTGACTTTGTCCTGTCCTGCCCTTTTGCTTTTCTTCTTTGTGTCTAGCCCATTGTATGCTGCTTGCTTCTCGGTTCTGCGCATTCTTGTTGTTATTGTGTTTTGTCCCAACTTACGCTTTACGTGTGCTTGACCCCCCCCCCTGCCCCACAAATCCTTTTCTTCTCTTCTCCCGTTCAAGGGCTGTCTTTCTGAGGGAAGAAGGGATTGATCGGACTTCCGGATATGCGGATTTTGGGAGTCGAATCGGGGAAGGGAATGGAATACAACAATCGCATATTCCAGCAATGACTTGCATCGGTGACACCTTGCACCTCTGGTCGGGCTTGTTATGCGTCGGATTGGAGGTTTTTTCGGGGAGAGCTTTTGTGGGATGCACTCTTCCAAGGCTGAGGAGAAGTCCAGACCTTGCTGGGTCCCTCTTTGCATGAAGCGGTCGTTTTTGGGTTGGGCCACTCCACCGGCCAAACTGGTGTGGCTTTACTAGGTCGATTTTCTGCATCGTATATCGGCCCAGTCATTTGTACTATAGTATCCCTTTTGCTGCCATATTCTACAGAATGGCTCTGTTCATGTAAATCAAAACATGCCTGATACCAATGCTGCGTGGATTTCTCATGATAACAATAATACTCAATTGTGGGAAGAATAGAAATCATGCAAACGCCGCTCATGACACCAAGAAACCGCAAATCAACTATTTGCACAGGGAAACAACCCCATTCAAAGAGTTCGTGCGCGAGCAGCCTCTCGCTTTCCCAAGACTATATAGACAATGCCAATTTTCTTAGGTCACAGACCTGTCTATGCTTTATACAGAGTGTCGAGGAACCCCTCGGCCAGACGGCTGACGATGCTTTTGTCCGGCATGCTACCCGCCACACCATAGAGAGCTGCGGTGTCTCCACGTTTGACAATATACGACTTGCCCTGGCGCTTTCTCTCTTCGGCCTTCTCCAACTCCTTTTCCACAACCTCGACCAAATCATTGGTAAGCGCATCCACGGCTGACGCTGTGGGAACCGTGAAAGCCACGTGGATAGCAGGGGGCGTCTGAAGGGCGTTCAGGTGCCAGCCCTTTGCGGATAAATCATCAGCAATATCGTAGATATCAACGGCATCATTCTTGCTTTCGAAGGCGACGACGCTGACCATGGGCTTTCCGACAATCTCCAGGTTCTTCGACAAGATTGAGTGCTCCTTGATTGACGACTCAAATTTCTTCGCTGCGCTCACGATTTCGTGGCAACTCTTGATGTAACCAGATTCACCCACATTCATCAGACTAGCCCAGCAGCCTGCGATCAGCGCACCCGGACGCGAGCCGGCGATGGATGGAGATGCATAAACGCCCCCAGACCAGTCAGGGTATATAAAGTACTGATAGCTGCGGTATACCTTGTTGCGGTACAGAAGCACCGAGTTGCCCTTGGGCGCGAAGCCATATTTGTGGGTGTCCACGCTAATGCTGGTCACACCGGGTAGACGGAAATCAAAGCCGCCCTCTTCCTCATAAGGAGAGGCGAAGCCGGCTTTCTTGAGAAACGCGATAACAAAGGAGCCCAGACAACAGTCGACATGTAGGGGGATTTTATACGAGGTCGCCAGTCGAGACAGAGCTGGAATATCATCAACGATACCATGAGGGAAATTCGGCGCAGATCCGACAATGAGAACAGTGTTGGAGTTAATCAACCGCCGGACGGATGGAACGTGAACCTTATAGTCCGGGGCCGGGCAAGCAACGCGGTGGAGCTTAATCTTGAAGTAGTTGCAGGCTTTGATAAAGGCAGCGTGGGCGGTGTCGGGAATGATCCTTCAAAAGGTATCAGCAAACTGATGAGTGCACATGATTTGCGAAGCATTTCTACTCACATCTCGGGCTCGGTGACACCCCGTTCGGTATATGCTTTCTGCCGTGCAGCAAGGCAAGCCATGATGATAGATTCTGTTCCGCCGCTGGTCGTGACACCCGCGCCATCGGAGGGGGCATTGAACAGCTCGAGGACCTGGGTGACATGCGTGAGCTGACAATTCCATGAGAATCAAAGGAGAGGGATAAGTACCATAGCGACAACTTCAGCTTCCATCTTCCGCACACCAGGGAACACATCTGGGTGAATGGGATTCGCGACACCAAACTGGCCGAAGGCTTCCGCTTGTAGCTTCAGGAGATCCTGGCCACCATGATACACGGCACCGCTGACGCGACCATCCTCCCAGCGTGTATGTTCCATATTCGCCAAGTTGCCTAACTCGGCGCGAATCTGCTCAGCCGACCATCCTTCCTTGGGTAGAGTCAGATACCTGGTAACACCAGGACCACTGGCGATGAGTTTCGACTCTAAGCCCTCGATCGCTGTGGACACTTGCTTATCAACCTGGCCCTTAACGCCGGGGAATCGCAAGAACGCAGAGTAGCAGAAGAGCCGAATGGCGGAGTAGACATTGCGGATGCTGCCGAAGAGGCCGTAGCCGCGCAGTGAATGATATGCCTTGCGGACGTAGCGGAGAATGAATAGAATGAAAACGATATTCCGAATACTACGACGCGAATGATAGAGTTGTTAGTGAGACCGGAACCAAGCACAAACTTGATAGTCGCCCCATGGGCTAGGGACTATCCGCGCTGCCACGCGGGGAAAGGCAATGCGGTGCAGATGATCTCATGAACTTACACATCCAGTTGGAGAGCCGCGAGTTGCGAGTTAGGAGCCCTGCTGTAACCAAGCAGTTTGTTCTGCAAGGCAACAGGAAGAACAGACGATGCCATTATTTATGAATGAATGGACAGTCGATAAGAAGAAGATGGGGTGGAGAGCCGATTGAGGACGACCTCCGGAAGGATGACGAAGGTGGACTGGGGAGAGAGGAAGGGCCGCGGGCGGTTACCGCAGTGTATAGGTACTGTAACTGTCACTACATAACTAGTTCGGTCGGATGATCCAGGATATGGAAGCCGGCGGCGATAAGACCGCCCCTCAGGAGGCTGCCTCGGCTTCAACGTTTTCCACATGCCACATGCCACACTCCGCATACGGAAACCACCACTTTATTCTTCCTGCAAAAGTGCAACTATCGTCAGAGCAAAGAATAAACATCGAATATTACCGGAAAATCTATAACAAGCACTCAGTATCTGGTATGAAATGCAGTTTGAATATTGATATCTGCGTATGTACACGGTCCCGAAAATCAAAGGACCCAAACTCTCTTTCCCAACACCGAATCTCCTTCTTTTTGAGTCAGGGACAAAGAAGACTTTTTAAAACCCCCATAGAAATGACAACCAGATCAAGATCCTTGACACATAAACGTAGAAATCATGAGGATGAAAGTAAAATGGAAACATCTTTCCCGCAGGAAAGAGACCCACCCGCTGCAAGCATGAACAGGAACAGAAAAGGAAAACCTCTAAGAACGCGACCCTCTAACCCATTGATGTGACTCAATGGCGGCGCTTGCAAATTGAACGAAAGGCAGTCAAGCCACGGACTTAAGCAGTGATTTGCTCAGCAATCTCCTTCTCCTTGGCAGCGAATTGAGCCTGCTCGTCGGCCGTAAGGTCAAGGAGGGGCTTGTCCTCGCCCGACTTGATGTTGCGGTAGTAGGCGCGGATAATGCTGTCGGCATCGTCAACAGCAATGGGACGAATATCAGCAAGAGCCTTGATCTTGGCAGTGCACTCCTTGTACTGAGCATCCGTCATCGTGATGTTAAGCTGCTGGGCACGCGACTTGATGGCGTTCCAGCCAGTCAGACGAGAGGCAAAATGGACATATCTGCTCATGCCGAAATCGGCAGGGTTGATAATCTCATAGGTGCTAGGGTTGTTCAGGATGGCCTTGGCGTGAATACCGGCCTTGTGGGTGAAGGCGCAGAATCCAGTGATGTAGTTGTTGAAGGGAATGTTGACCTCAACGGCCTCGGCCACGAGGTCCTCGACTTCCTTGAGCTTCTCAAGCTTGTACTTGCTCTTGACGTACTCGGGGTCGGCAACCATCATGCGGGCCATGAGACCACCAAGAGGGGTGATACCATTGCGCTCACCGATACCAAGGACGGAGGTATCGATGTGAGTAGCACCAGCCTCCAGGGCACAGTAGGCGTTGGCAATGGCGCAACCGGTGTCGTTGTGGAAGTGGGTTTCAATATCGCAACCCACGACACCTCTCAACACACGGACGAGCTCGTAAACCTGACGAGGGGAGGCGCATCCGACGGTATCGGCAATACCGACACGGTGGACACCAACCTTGTCGACGGCGGAGTAGATGGACAAGAGGTCGACGAGGTCAGAACGGAAGGAGTCCTCGCTGGAGAAACGGATCTCAATACCCTTAGACTTGACGAACTCGATAACTTCGATGGCGGTGTTCTTGATGTAGGTCATGTCCTTGCCGTGAGAGTGCTCACGGAGGTAGGAGGAGGTTCCAATGACGACATCGCTATCGACTCGTTAGGAGTTACTCGCGCAAGCAAAAGCCTTGAAAAAAACTTACACTCCATCAACACCGGTCTCAACGGCAACTCTAGCATCGTCCATGTGGCAACGGATGTGAGTGAGAATCTAGATTTCATTAGGTCTGAACGCAAACGGCTGAATCTGTGGGCGGCGTAGCTAACATACCTTAGCCTTCAGGCCAAGCTTGCAGATGGCCTCACAGTCCTTTCTCGACTGCTCGGAAGCGCAGGGGCTGGTGAGCTCGATCTATGAGAAGTGGTCAGTGCACAAGCTCCACGACGGCTCGACCCTCTCCACCACCCAAGATGACTCACGTAGTCAACACCAAAGTCATCCAAAGCCTTGGCGATTTCGATCTTCTTCTCAGTATCGAAGAAAGCGTTGGCGAATTGCTCTCCCTCACGAAGAGTACTCTCGATGATCTTGAAGCGGGAGACATTGCTCAGAAAGTCGGTAACACCGACGTTGTGGCCGTAAGGGTTGCGGGAAGCGGAGGGGTGGGGGTTCTGGCGAGTCTCAATGCCGGTGAAACCGGGGTGTTCGCCTTGATGATGATGTGTTAGTTTAAAGTTCCATAGACGATGAGAGAGAGAGACAGATAATGCGATTCAAACATACCGTTGGCATTGGGGGCAGCGCCGTTGGCCTGCCCATTGGGCTCGTGGTCTGCACCAGGGCACATTGCGAAAGAGGATACGGCGGGGTAGGTTTAGTGGGTAGGTTGTAGTATATAATAGCGAGAAGCTGCGAATGGTAAAAGCAAAGTCAGACGACGACAAACGTTGAAAATGAGATCAATGGGAATATACTGACAGTAAAGGTTCAGGTCAAGGTGGGATGGGTTTAAATGGCAAAGAGATCTTGTAGGAGAAGAGAATCAAAGAAAAGAGTCATAGGCTACAACTTGGTTTAAAAAAGCGGGCGGTCTGGTCGCAGGCAAAGTATGACTCTTTCTTGTCGGGCGGAACCCTCCCCTTCCCCTTTGCTACTGCGGCAATGATGAAAAATTCACTCGCACTAGGAACTAAGCACGCCGCAGACCTTTGGTGACCATTTCTTTGCCATCTCCTTCCTGGCTGGTTGTGGAGAACCCTGACCCCGGCTGGCCGTTCACAGCGCCTCCGACCACCCCAATTGCTCAGCCTGAGGATCGTCTCCAGTTTCCGATGGGGTTCTAGCCTAAATGCAGTAGTCATCATCGTTATTAAGGCCGGTTCCTTATCCAGGCGGGCCTCTTTTACGTAGGTGGGTTGGTTGTTTGCCACGCTGGGGGTTGAGAGCCAGTTCTACTCCTCAGTATCTAAGTACCTGACATTGTGCTGTCAATACTAGCTTTTCGTATGAAAACCTAGCTGAGGCAGATCTTCGTTTATGCGTCCTATCATTGCATGTGGTCAGGGTTTGCCTCTAGGGTTTTTTTTTTTTTTTTTTTTTCTTCCTCAATTAGTCGGAGCCAGTCAGGGCCGGATTTGGGTTGCATAATTGGGGAAGGGCTGCAACCGACATCGGCAGGTGGTTAACCTTGAGATAGCGCCGCATCTTGATAACTAGCGTCGGCCGCGGTGGACAGCCAGGCTCGACCGACACGAGATTGATAATCAATTCTCAACTCTTACTACTATTCACAATGCTATTGGCTATGATTAAAATCTTTTCTTAACTAGTTCAACTTGCCATGGTAACCGACACTTTGTTGTTGATTAATGACATCTGTTAGGTGCCCATTACCAACGGTAGACTACATGGCTGTGGCCATCTTGATCTTCCACTTCGCTTGACTCATTGCTAGGCCGGTCCCTCCGGCATCGCTCCTGATTTTCATTTCCTGGCCTCCTGTTGGTCAGCGTGCTTACGTGGTAACCGTCTCCCGCCCCTTTAGTTGGGGTTTGCGGCGGGTGCGGATCCCTGAGTCATTCTCCAGTACCGGTGGCCTGTGCGGCCTCAGGTTACAAACCTTGGATTCTTGGAAGGTCCTGTGGCTTGAGCTAGATCAAAAGAGGTAAAGCCTGTATTGTGGAGTGCAACTTCCTTTTGAGTCATATCTCAACTTCAAGATACAGTACTGTACATGCTGTGTAGTTTTACTAGTGATCAGAGCGGTGTACTACGCAGCAATGTACAGATGCATAGAGTAACATGCTGGCTATGTTGAGTGCATGTTTCTACTTGCATTTATTCTTGCTCTGCATGAAGCGTAGGGAACAGAGATGCCGAAGCATCAATAACTATATATGATCCCCACTTCTCCTGTCCTACCATTCCAACCTCCATTGGACTTAGCACCGAACATCAGACATAAAGTTAACAAGGTCCGTCTCGTCAACAAGGACTCGGATGAGATCATAAGGCCAATCCTGCAGCGATACGGGATCTTTCCTGCATACATCGACCCACAGTTCGTTGTCAAATGATCCGTAAGGTTGTGCGCCTCGGACTTGGGAGGCTCAAACCCTCCAGCTCCTTAGCTTAGACGAGTCCCGCCTGAATGCGAAACTCGCACTCTGTTCTAGATCACAGTGATGCTCAGGTTGGAGGATTTGCGACATGCTAGCGTCAATGTCATCTGTGTATCTTCCAAACCCTGAGGACGCTTCCGACTCTTCGCGATTGCCTGCCTTAGAACCCAGGCGCTGTTCCCTGGACTTTGCGATCCCATAGCCTTTCTCACGGGACCCGATGATATTCCCAAGGTCAATCCGTCTACTCTCTCGCATCCCAAAGTACAGACCGGCAACCACAAGTACCACAACCCCAAGGCTGACGGGGAGACCGATGTACAATGCGAGTACGTTGAATGACAGCTGGGCCGAGGATTTGCGGTGCTCCGTGGGTCGGAGGTAGAGTAAGATGGTTGGTCCTTGTCGAATACTGGCTCGCTTGTCTGACACAGCATCTAGCTCAATAATATAGAGCGTCAAAGCATTCCGCTGCTTCCCTTGAAGCCAATCTTCGCGCATGTGGATATGGGTATAGCCATAGCTGTTATCAATCCTCTCGGATGTGTATGCCGAGTCGCCCTCGGAGGAGTTCAGATATCTCAGCTCGATGGTGATAGTAGCATTCAATGGATAAAAGTCGGCATTCCACGTCACATAGTACGTTGCATCGACTGTCGCTTCGGTACCATCCTTGGGAAGACAGAAAGGTCGAAAAGGGCCACTCAGGTCGGTACAAATAGGGAAGTCATTGGGAGAAGCCGTAGTGGATCGTTTCTGGACGGCCGTTGGGGTTGCTTGGCTGCAAGCAAACTCAGTGACTAGTGTTGTCACTGCTCCTAATGGTTAGATGGGTTCCTCTTGGTGCTAACATGCGCACTTCGATGAAACTTCCTGCATACCAAGTTCAGTATCACCACCCGCCACAGCTCTGCTGCCTTGACAGAGCATGACCAGCACTGAAAATGCCAGAATAATTCTATGAAAGGAAAATGCGCAGTACTTTGTAATCTCTGCCATGGTTGACAAGCGTTCACAGAAAGATTGACAGCGTTGTGGTATGGTCTTTATGGTCTTTATGGTATGTATCTCTATACTCGGATGATAGATCAATGAATAGCATAGTATGACTGGCGGTAATTGAAGAGATAGAATCTAGAGTTAAACACTGAATTCCCCGTGCTGCTCGCGTTTCGATCAATCCGGAAGGTGCAACGGGCCAGACATGGTCCTGGCAAGAGCGAAGGTTCTATGCGGTTTGTTACCTCAAAGAACGCCGCGACTAAGATGCAGGCAGATCGAGTCTTGAGGTCATATACAAGGAAGGACTACTACTTGTAGCACATCAGATTATAGAGTCGAAACATCTCATTCTATGCTTTTTATCTTAATCGAGATTGTCGAATTGAACTCATCAGTACATCCAGGTGAATTGAACTACAAGCTGTAAGGTAACACTATCTAGAAGCATAGTGTATGTCTAATGTCAGCGATCACCACTTGATAGGTATTGCCTTACCTTAGGGAGAAACAGCACAGTTGGAAGTCATTGGTGGTCTCTTTGTTCTATTGAGATACGATCTTCCATTGTTGGGTTGCTGTAGGTGCAGTACCAATATCCGCTGATTGATTGACATCAGACAAAGCCATAGTTGTCTCTTTTTTAATACACAACAGAGATTTGCAACCAGCTGATGACGATCAAAATCAACCATTAATTACACATACAATGGGGGAAGAAGCAAAAGAGATTCCAGAAAGGCACCTAAGGAAGCCTGGAGCGAATTCCCCGCTTCCCGCCGCGGAAGCTCCAATTAGAGTTAGGCCACCTGTCGCGGAGACTTTGTTCGGTACAGTACAGTACGTTAGGTGAGTGTACTGTCAGTCTGTCCATCGTGGCTGTTTCACTTAACCTCTTCAAGTTGTTGTCAACACAGGTTGCCTGTTTCCCTCCGCTGCCTGCTGTCCACCATCTGGTCTTTCAACCTTATCCAGTTTCTTCTCAAGGTGCGCTCATCGCATTAGATAACTCAGACCATGTATGTTCATTCTCTCTCCCTCGTCCACGGCAGCCGCAGACAACCCTCCCCTGATAATTTACTGACCACGCGTCGTCTTCGATAGCATTATCATGCGTCTCATCCAGGTCCTCGCCCTTGCCCCGGCGCTCGCGCTGGCACAAGAACAAGTTCCCCTTGCAGACCGTTTCCAGGGTTGGCTCGACAAGGCCAAGGCTTATCTGCCAACTGCTACCCCGGTTGTGCCTGCTACTGTTGAGGAAGTCCAGAAGGTCGTCGAGCAGAAGAAGATTCAGGCGAAGCCCGTCACGCAGTTGAATATGACCAACTGGGAGTCGATTCTGGAGCCGGCCTCTGACGCCCAGGACTGGTTCGTCTTCGTCACCGGTGGTAACAAGACATGCTTCGGACGCTGTGCTCAAGCGGATAAGTCATTCAATGTAAGACCGCCCCGGAACACTAAAGGGGGGAGACATAAGGCCCCCCCGAGGCTCGTGCTCATGGCCGCTAAACATGTCATGTTCATCTTCTAGGAATCCGTTCTTCTGTTCTCCGCCGATCCCACCTCCCCTCACCTTGCTCGGTTGGACTGCGAGGCAAACCAGGTTCTCTGCGCTGCTTGGTCCGCAAGCGCTCCCTCGGTCTGGCACTTCGAGGTCCCCCAGGCCCAGCTGGGCGAGGGACGCGCTCCCACTACTCTGCACACCGCGCACCTGAACACGACCACCGTTACCCCCGAGACGATCTACAAGCTTCATTCCGAGAAGCATTTCGAGCAGACCCCGGCCTACGTGGGTCTCCTGCACCCTACCGACGGCTTCTTTGCTAAGAACGGGCTTCTCCTTCCTCTCGGCTATGTCATGTGGGGTTTCGGCTCTATCCCGAGCTGGCTCTTCATGCTCTTCATCAGCTTCTTCAGCAGAACTTTCATGTAAGTCTCCCGGGCTTGATTGTGATAATGGCAGCAGCCACTGATGCATTGACCAGGGGCCGCCGTGTCAACCCTGGACCTGCTGCCCGTCCCAACTAGGCATCGCTGTTCATGAGATAACGATGGTAGCACTTCAATTTTTTCGTGGATAGGGATGTATATATAATGAGATAGCAGTACACCGGCCGACTCAATTGGAGTATGTCTAGTTTTGGCTTAGGTCCTAATTTTCAGTAGAGGACATATATTCTCCTGATTCTCTTGGATAATGCTTGTAAAAATCCAGCAAAGAAAATGGAATAGAAAGTTGAGGATTATTGTCCCAGATTGTAATTCTGAGCCTGATGGATGGTGGTAATGAACCTTAAGCAAATCCAGACCGCGCGCGTCCCGCCTCACGTCACCCGCCGCACCTAAAAAAAAGAGGTAGCTAAGGTGGCATCCCGCCCATCGCAATAAATCCAAACCACCACCAAACCACGACCGAACAATCACAAAACTCCAGCCAACCCCACAATGGCCGACCTCGAGCGCGCAGCCCCTTCGACAACAGCCTATGTCGTTGCCACGGCCATCATCGCCGGCATCACCGGCTACTTCATCGGCCAAGGCTCCTCGCTCGGCCTCTTCTCCAACAAAGAGAAAGAAGGGTGGCCGAACAGCTACAACGTGAAGGTGCACCGCGACTCGTCCGACGAGGAGTTTGAGGAGGAAGAGGAAGAAGACGAGGACAGCGAGGACGAAGGGGATGGCTCCGAGCTGGCGAGTTTCGACAACACCGCCGAGGAAGTCAAGTTGGTGCTGGTTGTGAGGACGGATCTGGGAATGACCAAGGGTATGTGAATTGATCATAAGCCATCTTCTTCACCCTATCCCAGAAAAAGGCAGCTTGAGTATTTTTTGCCAGTGTGCTTGATTTGCTTGGTTTTCTACCGGATGCTTCTACGCCAGTGAACATGATATGATTTTTTGTTTTGATATGGAGAGACTTTGAACTGATTCAATGTGATTTTGTGGTCAACAGGCAAAATCGCCGCCCAATGCTCCCACGCCACCTTGGCGTGCTACAAATACCTCACCACGCATACGCCCAACTCGCCGCTGCTCCGTCGCTGGGAGTCGCAGGGCCAGGCCAAGATCGCGCTGCAGGTCAAATCCGAGGAGGAGATGGAGATGCTGTACGCGCAGGCCATCAGTCTGGGCCTCTGCGCGCGCGTGATCACGGATGCTGGGCGGACGCAGATCGCCAGTGGGAGCCGGACGGTCTTGGGTGTCCTGGGGCCCAAGAGCGTTGTGGATGGAGTGACGGGCCATCTGAAGCTGTTGTAGTGGCGGACATCTTGTTTTGGGGGTTCGTTATGGGGTTCGATGGGAGGGATATGAGCGGCATGGAACAAATCATTACGGAGTATATAGGGAGCCTTGCAGGCATGATGGCTGGGCAGCGCTGCAGGTAACTGCCTACGCTGGCCTCAGGACCTGAGCATTGTTATTCGATGGAACAGTATGGGCGCGTTGCAGCGCGTTGTAACATCTCTTGTCGCAAAACGGTCTTGCGCAGAAGCGCAACAGAACGTGGGTGCAAGATCTACCTGCCCGCGGCACACTTTCAAGATGGGCGCATATATGCCAGATAGAGAAGACAGGGCGGGTAAGCCACGGTCATGATCAATTTACAACTAGACTACAATTGCGCAGGATTCACATAAAAATCCTAAGACTCAAAAGGAATGTTGGCTAGTCATGGTTATTCCCTAACCTCATCGGCCGACGGCCAAAATCGGTAAAGAGAGTAGGAATATGACGCCGTCAGCAAACCGGGGACTCCGGCCGAGCTCACCAAGTCCGAAGACAAGGGAGCTCAAGACCAGAGCGAACACCCAGTGCCGACCTTTAATCTGAGATCTGTCGACCGGAATGATAAAAGACCACCAACAAAAAAAGTGATGGCTCCTTAAGTCGTCGAACTGTCCAGTAATCAACCGAAACACAAGAAAAGAAAAAAAACAGCAAGCTGCCATCTTCAGCCCTCGTGAACAGGATCGCTGGACACAGATCCGTGATGTGTTAAAGAGAGAAAAGAAGGAAATCCCAAGGAAGAAAAATTGCCGGGTGGGTTTTATTGACCGCGCCAAGCCCGCGCTAAGAGAATCGTCGGCGCTAAACCTTGCCGAGACTGGCTCTGCTTATGTAACCGGTCGCAATGAGTGAGTCCCGCTCGCCGCCTTGCCTTTCTTGCTGGACAGGCGGCGATTGCGATGGATGGGTGATCTCAACCTTCAAGACGAAATACTCCCCTACCGAGAAGTACACCATACTCATCTCTAATCCTCCTCTCTCATCTTGATCCTCCCACTTACCTTTCAGTCTCACCTGCGCGCATAGCCTGTCTACGCTCTTTTTCTAGCAGTCATTGATCAGTCGCCTCAAAATGGCCGACGCTGTGTCCATCGAGCAGCATAACAAGGTCCGAGCCGCGCTCGGCCTCAAGCCGCTGCCTGTGCCCGGCGCTCAACATGACGACGACTCGGGTGCATCCTCCGGCGAGGAGGAAGAGCCCGGAAGTACCCTCGAGCTGAGGGAGGCCATGGCGTCCGATAACTGGAAGCAACTGCAAGATGAGGCCGAAGCGAAACGGAAACGGGAGGAACGAAACGCCGCCATCAAGCGGGCGCGCGACCTGGCTCAACGAAACGCCAAACTCGAGGGCGCCACGCTCGGCGAGGCCGAGGCGGAAGACACCAAGACCTGGCTGATGCAGACCAAGAAGCGCCAGCGGAAGATCGAGAAGGAGCGGGCGCGTCGGCTGGCGGAGGAGCTCGAGGAGCGGGAACGCGCCGCGGAATATTCGGCGGCAGACCTCGCCGGCATCAAGGTCGGACACGAAATCGAGGACTTCGGGGGCGGCGAGGATCACATCCTGACGCTCAAGGACACGACGATCGACGAGAACGAGGAGGAAGGCGATGAGCTGGAGAACCTGGATCTGAGGGAGAGGGAGAAGGCCACGGAGCGGTCGGAGCTGAAGAAGCGGAAGCCGGCTTACGATCCTACGGCGGAGAACACCGGCATCCTGGCACAGTACGATGAGGAGATTGAGGGCAAGAAGCGCAAGCGGTTCACACTCGACTCGAAGGGGTCTACCGCCGAAGAACGGGAGGCTAAGCGACAGGAGATTTCCGAGAAGCTCAACAAGAACGTCATCAGCTTGGACCTCGACATGGAGACCCCTACATCCGACTATATGGACATCAGCGAGGTCAAGATCAAGAAACCGAAGAAGAAGAAAGCCAAGGCCACCAAACAGCGGGCTGTTTTGGACGACGATGACCTTTTCCCTACACCCGAGTCGACAGCTACGCCGAACGACAGTGCGATGGACGTGGACTATACTAATGGGCAATCGGTTCCTGCCCCGGTGCCTCGGAAGTGGGAAGACCAAAATGTTTCATTCGTCGATGATGACGACCTACAAGCCTCTCTGACCCGTCAACGGCGCGCCGCCTTCAAGAAGCGGCAAAAAGCCCGCCCAGAGGACATTGCCCGGCAATTACGGGAGGAGAGCTCACAAACACCGATGGATACTGGAAATCCTGTCGAGAATGAGGAAGAACCCGGTCTCGTGATTGATGAGACCTCTGAATTCGTCTCCAACCTACAGAAACCGACTCTTCCCGAACGCCATGAAAGGCAGACGACTCCTCCGACTGAAGAGCTTCGTGCTAAAAGCGAGGGCCCTAGTATCAAGGAGGAGGTTGAAGAGGATGGTGATGTGGACATGTCTCGGACTTATAATGATATTGAGGATGAGGAAGATCTCAAGGAACGCATCAAACGCGAAGAGTCCCTGGCCCGGCAGCAAATCAGCACCACCGGGTTGGACGAGGAAGCAACCTTGGATCAGGGCTTGGGTGCTACACTTAATATGCTCAAGCAACGTGGCTTGGTCAAGTCATCCGACGCTGCCGACCACAACTCGCTTTTACGCGACCGTTCCCGGTTCTTGCAGGAGAAGGTGCGCATGGAGACGGAAGCCGAGAAACGAGCCCGCCAGCAGCGTGAACGCGATCGAGCATCGGGCAAGCTGGATCGCATGTCTGCACGCGAGCGAGAGGAGTATGCTCGCTGGGAGAACAAGCAGCGTGATCAGCAGGATGCTCGTCATATGGCGGAGGTGTTCAACCGCGAGTACAAGCCCGACGTTCAGCTCAAGTATGTGGACGAGCATGGCCGGGCGATGAATCAGAAAGAAGCATTCAAGCACCTCAGTCATCAGTTCCACGGTAAGGGCAGTGGTAAGATGAAGACAGAGAAACGGCTGAAGAAAATTGAGGAAGAGAAGAAGCGCGAAGCCATGAGCGCCTTGGATAGCAGTCAACATACGGGTATGAACAATGCCATGGGGGCAACGGCTCGCAAGAACCGCCAGGCCGGCGTACGACTTGGCTAAAGCTACGATATGATCCAAAAGATGCTGCTTTTCCTGTAGCTCTGTCCAGTCCTCCGGCTGGAGCTAATACGATGAACCTTGTGGTTGAACACCCAGCCACTCGTTATGCCAGATGTACAGATCTTTCTATACCACTATAAATAGCATGGTTTTTCTCGTTCTGGGCTATGAGGAATAAGCGTTTGCTATTAAGAAACTATAGTCACGTACAGTACAGTCGATAACTTAATTTGATGCAAGTTGTTGACCGCGGTCAGAAGTGAGTGCCCTGATGGTATGCGGGTTCATAGTTAAGGCTTACAATACGTGGTGTGATTACATGTCAGACTTGGCGTGTGGGGGAATTTAACCGACGGATCAAGCTGCTTTCTTGCCGACACCGGCCAGCGCTCACCTAGTGGTGCACCCAGTGGTGCACCCAGTGGTACACCCACCGAAGAAAACTCGCCACTTCAAATATCACACCCCGTGTAAAGCTAATTCCCATAAAGCCTATTCATATGCTTTTCCCTTCTGTTTGATCCTAAACATTCAGACATTACACATCGAACCACATCTGGAGGTGATTGGCTAACTACATGTGCGACCGAGCAAGTTTAATAAGAAGGGTCATTTACCTTACCCCAACTCCTCGTGAGGGGAAGATCCGAGGCCAGCCCAGCCAGCCAGCAAGTCCACGGCCTCAGACCATGCAGTGAGCCGCTATTTCTTTCTCAAACAGTTCACCGAAAAGCGGGACGGGGTCACGGAAGAGGGGAAATCAGCGTCAATCCACCATCATATCATCATTGATGTTTGATGGGGCGATGTTAGGTTGGCAAAGGCCGACCGCCGAATCTCACACTCTAATTGTGTCAACCAAGCTAGTACCAGGTAGCTGCAGATTGACCATCGGCATCCGTACTGTAAGTACAGTAGTTAGTCTGTCCACTTTGCTCCGCACAGAACCATCTACGGTATCAACAACGCGTGAGGGGTTAAGTGGAAGCAATTGAGCTTAAATCTGAATAGATTCAACTAGCATTCTACATAATTTGAGCACAAAGAAGATAAACACCTACAACAGCTGTCGGTAATTAGAAGTACTAACTTATGTAATTAGCAGGTAAACAGGGCTCCAGGCTGGCCATGCGCTTTTCCCCAACCGGCTGAGGTGCGGAGGGCAGGGCCAATCCGAGCCCGCCCGCGTTGCTCCCCGGAAACTCCCTAGTTAGTTCCCATGAGTCAAAAATAAAACACATCATTGCGCCCATTCTTAACCTTCTTGCTTCTTATTTATCCTTTCCCCATACCCTCCTCCATTCCCCGGCAGCCCACCATCTGTGCTCCGATCTTCTTCTTCTTCCCCTTCTTCTCCTCCCCAACATCCCTGGGTCTTTCCTCCTCGGTTGATAACATCTTTCTTTCCCTCATCACATAGCACAATGTTGTCCACTCTCCGAGTTGCCAGCCGCCAGGCTGTTGCGCGCGACGCCAGCATGCGCACCGTTGTCGTCGGTGCCAGACAGGCCTCCGCCTGGTCCAAGGTTCCCCAGGGTCCTCCCGTAAGTACTTCAATGACGAGGAGCTATGTCTGCAGCCATTGCTGATGCATTGGGTTTATAGGATGCCATTCTGGGTATCACCGAGGCCTTCAAGGCCGACAGCTTCAAGGAGAAGATCAACCTCGGTGTTGGTGCTTACCGTAAGCATTCCCATCATTTCCGATCTCTTTATCGGTTCAACCATCAATCTATCCCTTCAGATAGGTCTCGTTTCGCATCATTAGCTAAATCCGGGGTGTTCATACAGGTGACGACAAGGGCAAGCCTTACGTTCTTCCCTCGGTCCGCGCCGCCGAGGACAAGGTCGTTGCCTCGCGTCAGGACAAGGAATATGCCGGCATCACTGGTATCCCTTCCTTCACCAAGGCCGCTGCTGAGCTCGCCTATGGCTCCGACTCCGCCGTGCTCAAGGAGGACCGCCTTGTCATCACTCAGACCATCTCCGGTACCGGTGCCCTGAGAATCGGTGGTGCTTTCCTCCAGCGCTTCTACCCCCACGCGAAGAAGATCTACCTCCCCTCCCCTAGCTGGGCCAACCACGGTGCTGTGTTCAAGGACTCCGGCATCGAGGTCGCCCAGTACCGCTACTACAACAAGGACACCATCGGTCTCGACTTCGAGGGTCTCCTTGCCGACATCAAGGCTGCTCCCGAGAACAGCATCATCCTCCTTCACGCCTGTGCTCACAACCCCACTGGTGTCGACCCCACTCAGGACCAGTGGCGCAAGATCAGCGATGTCATGAAGGAGAAGGGCCACTTTGCTTTCTTTGACATGGCCTACCAGGGCTTTGCCAGCGGAAACGCTGACCAGGATGCTTTCGCCCCCCGTCACTTCGTCAAGGAGGGCCACAACATCGCTCTGTGCCAGAGTTTCGCCAAGAACATGGTAGGCTCGGAAGCTTTTTCTCTGGTCGTTCATCACTAATGCGTTTTCCGTATGTAGGGTCTCTACGGTGAGCGTGTTGGTGCTTTCTCCCTCGTCTGCGAGTCCGCCGAGGAGAAGAAGCGCGTCGAGTCTCAGATCAAGATCCTCATCCGTCCTTTCTACTCCAACCCTCCCATCCACGGTGCTCGTGTCGCCTCCACCATCATGAACGACCCCGAGCTGAACCAGCAGTGGCTGGGTGAGGTCAAGGGCATGGCTGACCGTATCATTGAGATGCGTGCCCTGCTTCGCAAGAACCTGGAGGAGCTTGGCAGCAAGCACGACTGGTCTCACATCACCAGCCAGGTAAGCGCCGTTGGAATACCTGGGACGTCAAATGGCAGCTAACTTCGTATTAGATTGGCATGTTCGCCTACACTGGTCTTAAGCCCGAGCAGATGGACGTTCTGGCCAAGGAGCACTCCGTCTACGCCACCAAGGATGGCCGTATCTCCGTGGCTGGTATCACCTCGGGCAACGTTAAGCGCCTTGCCGAGTCCATCTTCAAGGTGACCGGCTAAATGGCCAGCCAGCCAGGGAGGCCGCACGCTCATATACGTAGATCTACTGGGGATTGAGTCCCTCTGTACTGATATCCATGTGTTACATTAGCATATCTAAGCATTGAATTGAATAACGAATTTTCTGACCTAAAGGGTTTCACCGTCAGTTGTAGCAACCGTTCAGGTGTTGTTGCGTCGTGCGCACCCGCATCGTGACTGACACCGAGGCATCTGGCGGTGAAGCGGCGAGCGTGCCAGCCACTGGGGCGCGATCCAGGGTTCACTGCATGACAGAGCCGTCGAGCTACTGCTGCTTCTGGAGGTCAATCTTACAGGCAATCTCAGCGGGATTGTGGTTAGCTTTGAGGTGCTGCGGTGTAGTTTGCTAGTGATGTTCCAGCACCGCCAAGCCGGTCTACTTTTTCCCAAGGCAGTAATCAGTGAGCATGACCCGACCTTAGTAGTATACGGTAGGTAGGTAAGCCAGCTAGGTAGGTAGCCCAAGCACAGTACAGTGCCTTAGTTAAGTTAGCTGCTGATCTGTAGATACTTTAACACAGCACAGTAGTGATCCGGTAACTGGGGAAGTATAATCATTAGGTATTCCAGCTTAATCGCAAGTCTGAACATCATACCAAGTACGGAGAGAGAGAGAGAGTAAGCTACTCTTCTAATAACGCTTACCAACATTGCTCCTGCTTACTTATCTACATACTATGTATGACCTTAGTTACTCACCCTTGGCCTAATACCTGCAAAGAAGTCCTTTCAGCTCCACAGCCTAAGTTACTCCGTATCTGACTGTCAAATTCAGTGCTCCCTCGCCCCTTGCCAAACAGTAGACCCCCAATGTATGGAGTAACCTTGCTTGCTTGCTTGGCCTTGACCCTCCTCCTTCTTCCCCTTCCCCTATCTATCTATCCTCCCTTCTCCCTAGTCTAGGTACAGTACAGAGCGGAGCACGACCGTACGTACGAGTACCTAGACTGTCTATCTCTCAGTTCACCACCGCCGGAATGGGGCCACCTGCTGGAGTCCTCTCCCTCCTACTTAAGCTAGGGGAGTTACGGGTTACAGAGTGGGGAGGGGGAAGTGGAGGTAGGTTTTCGTCCTCAGCCTCTCGGGGATACTGGCGAAAAAGAAAAAGCTCCACCTTCGGAAAGGGTAAGGAAACCAAGAAAAAACCGCACCACTACAGAGGGCGTCCCGTCTGTCACTCCGGTAACCTATTGTTATTGTTCCGAACTGGGGAGGAAGAGGAGGCAGCCGATGGGGGAAGAGGGAAATCTCCTGTTGGGCTACGCTGTATGTAGCTCGACGGTAAAAACGAGGTGGTGGTTGTTTATTTGAGGGAACTTGGTATTGAATGGTTTCATTGATCCATTTTTGGATGGATGTGTGAATTACTATGTAATGTGTAGGGTAGGTGTAGAGTGCTGGCTGGTGAATGATGGGGCTGTGGTGGCGAGGGGCGGCGTAGCGCGGCTGTGTCGCTTGTGCTTGTTGGAAGTCGGATGATATGAGTAACTTAACGTAACTTGTTTACTCAGTAACTTGGCTGGCTGCTGTCAGTAGGGAAAGAAGAGCTGGTACAATGGTAGGTACAGTAAGTTGAAGCCTTGGTTGGGCTATTGCTGTCGTGTACAAGGGTCCCACCCTTATTGAGGCAGCTCTTGGGACATCAGCGACATGAGGGTGCTTAAGGTATACTTAGATAACCACCCCCCTGGTTGGTTTATCAAGTCCTTGCGCAAATCTGACGAGAAACAAAGATGAGGAAGATGGGACGTGCCTTGCCTGAAGGAACGCAACTACTGTAGTGCTTTCTTTAGTACGGTCCCTCACTACCGACCAGCTTAACTTGTGGCTGTTGTTGCAGCTTACTACTCGCTATACCGATCAAGGTAGAAACGAGGCGCAGAAACAGCGCCGTAGCAATAGGCCTAAAAGTCATTCACCATCCATCTAAATTAGTACTCCGTAGCCAGGAACTAGATGAAAGATATACTAGAATCTCCGGTGATAGGCTGAACATGGGGTGGATGATCATCTCCCCTGTGAGGCTTGGACCGCTCACCCCAAATAAAAGATTGCGATCACGTCTAGTTATGCCCCATTACAAAGCGTGCAAGATGCAAAGTGGAAAGAAACCCACCACATCCTTCATAATGTAACCGCCATGGGTGATTCTGTGGCTATTCACGTTTTCTTTTTTACACTGGCAATAGGACTGAATAGGACTTTCCGCGGAGATCGCGCCCGGCTGGGAAGGAGGAGGGTTATTTATAGTGTTTGGGGTTCGAGGTATGCTGACTACTCCTACTACTACGACAACCCCGGAAGGAAGTCAGGATTAAAAGTGTCAAGGAAGGATGGCCGTGTGAAGGAGACCTTTTGTTTGAGATCCCCAAGAGTGATGTATTTTTTTTTAAATTGTTTCTAGATCGTGGATCATGGTCTTATGGGAATCTCTGATCAGCGACAGGGGATGATCGGATCCTCGAGATTAGAAGAGGAAAGGAGGGGAGAAGTGGTTCTTCGAGTCTTCGAATCCCGAAATACTGGAGACATGTTGAGACAGGGGAGTCTCTTAAGAGTAGAGGTGTGAGGACTAGGCACGTTTCAGCTGCTTGCTCCCGGCTCTCCTTTGCGAACTGCAGAACTTCAGGTACGAGGTTAGGGGAGGGAAAAGGGGGGTGGTCGACTAACGCGGGATGGTTATACAGTACTAGGTACGGAGTACTAGGTAGGTTACTACCTACTAGTAAATAAGTCAGGTTGTTGTACTTTATATTGTTGTTTAATAGGACGATGACCAGCAGAGACTCTATAGGAAAGGCGGGGAGGATGATAGACCTCTGGGTAGGTTAAACCTAGTTTATTGTTCACATACTGCGTGCGGTACTGTATGTACAATTAGAAAGTTGTAGATACCTTAGACAGCCTCAGATGTGTTGGCACCGGCAGTACGTCTCCTAATTCGGAGTTGAACCTCGTCTCACTCATTACTTACCGTATGATACTGATTACACTTGGAGAAACCACTAGTACTGTACGCCCCTAAAGTAATCCAACTTACCTGTACTGCGTACACCTTGTATGTACTGTCATGTCACCACGTACAAGATTCTCGTCGATATCGGCCGGAAATCCCCTCCCCTCGCATCGATCAGGCCCACCAGCCAGCTAGCCAGTCCATCATTGGGGTCAATGGATCATTGCTTCGCGCATTGCCCGTTTGAGCTGGGCTAATTGGAACTGCTAGGCAATAATTTACCTGTTTCGGTAAGCAAGACACTGGAACAGATTGATAGGCGCATTTCACTGGACATGGCATAGATATGTATCCATAATGTGCAGTACCTAGCTAGTACTTAGTGTACTTAAACTGGACAGTTGATGATAGGGCGCATGCTCCATTCCTGTCAGAAATCCATGGCCCCCAGCAGTCAAAAACATATCAAAAGACCGACCGGGCAAGAAATTTCTGGAGAACGATTCCGGCGGCTTGACGCGCATTTGGATGACCCCAGTGATATCAGTACTGTACATTTTAGTAGTATCATGGATACGTACTGCCCTTTCCCGTTCCGGACACGCGCGCGCCCACACCCGCGGCGGGCGCGCGGTGAGGCCGACTGATATCGCCCTCATAACAAGTAGGGCACGATCTCTGGCAGGGCAACCTTCGATTACTTCTATCACGCCACTGACCCTGAATGATCGGTATGGGAAAGGCAAAGGAAAAGAGAAAACTGCAATGCAAGTAAATGCACATTGTGTTCAGCCACCGCAGCAACACTAAGACTGGAAGGTATAGTGTAGAGTGTGTCTGTCCACCTGCTGCGCTACGCATTGTGGTAACTTGAGTCGTAAGGTGAAAAAGCTCACGGCAGGGCCCATCTTACCCTTAATAGCGGCTTCTCTCAGCAGCAGTGGCAAACGTTAGGCACTTTCTTTCATCAGGAAAACACCCTTACCACAGTGAGAACTACAGGTAATTCCATCTTGCTCTGGTGCAGTGCTTTGTTTGCCCTCTCCTTCACATTGCAAGCATAGTCACACGTGGACCGCCTCGCCAATCATTGACACGCAGCTCTAGGACGATCCAGTTGTCCAGCAAGGTGCGAACATCAACTATGAGCTGATGTGAAAACGCACCTGCAGGACCATACTGTAAGTATCTCTGTACTTAACACACGGGGTCTCTCGCGTCGGCTAGTTTACACATTTAGTCTACTCCGTACCGGTGTTGGCAGATTTACCACGAAGGGTTTGGAGGTCCGAGTGCCTGTGGGCATTCTTTCCCCACCTCTATGTACTGACCTTAGTCACCTTACACTTAAAGTGGGTTCAACTACTACTAACTATTTACTACTTCTGGATCTGCTTGCTTCTCCATCTACAGCCAAACCCGGCTCTTTGGAATAGATGCACGGTCAATAAAATGGCTTTGCAACCAACCTACTAGGTATCAACCGTCTGCTGCCGAGATCGGGAAGGAAGGAAGGCGGCAACCGTCATCAGTCAACTATCCGTTCTCCGGAATGACTAGCAGTTTAGCAGTGGCTAACCTTGGTTCCATCCCTTCATTACTGAACCGGAATGATCAGAGACTGGCCCATCCGGTTCTGGGTAAACGCGAGCCAATAGTTCTTTCGTTGATGAAACTCTTGCTGTTCTTCTTGTTGTTTCCCTACGATCTGACACTCCGTCTTTTCTTGTCTTGATCAGCCGTGTCTTAACCATGAACCCCTCGTCTGACTACTACTACCATTACTTACTAATCGGTAGCTGAGCCAGCATTGCCGCTAAATACCCTCATCAGTATGAGAAGGGAGGCTTTTATCCAATGGATCTCTGGAGAGAACTTCGCAGACGAAGGATCATCCGGTAGGTCTGTTTCGGTTAGGCCTCGGCCGACATGCTGCACTGGCACTGAGGGCTGGGATCTTAACAGGGCAGGTTGCCGTCTACCAACCAGTCTGCTTCCGCGATCTAGCGACTGCTGCATCCGATCAATCAATGCGGCATTACTCGCTACTGGCTGTAACCATGCCTGCTATCCTTGCAATCTGCCCTGCCAAACGATTGTAAGAGTATATAACTCCCTAGTACAAGTAGTATCCGTAAATGAAGTCGGACCTATCACTCAGCTACCTGGTCTACCTCACTACCCGTGACTTGGTCCCGGGTCGGATTGTTCAACCCGACGGAGAAACTCGTGTGGTTTTCCAGTTTTACCTCCAGTCATTCATCTAGTTAATCTCAAGTCCGAACAACACCACTGCAGTCAACCTGTGCTTCCGTATCAAGCTATTCTCTGTCACTGTTCCCGCCTGTTCTGCATGATCTGAAGGCTAACCATATTTCTTTCTCGTCTCTTCCTTCTTCTCTCTTTTTTTTTTTTCCTGGTTGAGGCTGTGAGATGTTGCGCGTATTTTCGGGTCCCTTTCTGACTTTCTTGGGGGAGGCGAAACCCAAAAAAGCTTGGGTGGGAAAGGGTCGAGGCTGGTCGGCGGATGATCTACCGTCACGCTGAACCACTGATTCAAATGAGGTTATGTGATCCTGTGACAGCGTTGGTACCTGGTATTAATCAATCATGGGATGGCTGCCGATGACGACGGGTGATGGTCCGTCGATTGACCATGGAAAATCCAAACCACCCTCAATTCTGAAACAAATACCCTGAATAGGAGGGAGCAGCAGCAGCAGCTCTCAATGTGACCGTCAGCTTAACATCATTCCTGCTGAGCCGTGAGCTGCTCTCCTGCCTACCTTTGTCTGGCTCACAGGCAGTGTGTTAAGATCCTCTTCGCCACATCGACGTCTTTTTTCTGTTCTCTATCACTACACAGTAATAGTAATGTCCTTCCGCCCGTGTCACCCAACATAGCTCCTGGATACAATGACATGCATTGGCCAAACATCCTTCCCTCGGTGCCAAGACATAGAAGAGGTCCCATGGAATCGATACTACCGCTGAATCTGGATTTCGGCAGCCCCGCGCCACTTTCGTACAGGATTCTTTTTGACTTCTCCGGGTCATTCTTTATTTATCGTCGTTGTCATTCACATTCACATTCAAAGCCCATGGATGGCCATACAGCTGTACAACAAGGAGGAGGCTCTTGATCATTTGGCTCCCAGGACGAAGGATCCAATGATCCAATGATCCAATGGGTAACCAAGGCAGCCAGACAGCAAAGGTGGGCTTGGAGTGTCCGGAGACCTATCATTCTTGTCCGATGGTAGTGGGGGCGCCCGGATGGCAGGAGACATGGCCATGGCGTAGAAAAGAATAGGCACGCACACACGCTCACGCTTGGTCTTCTGCTGAGTTAGCAACGGAGACCCAAAGTAGTCAAGGCACAGGACCTTGATTTCTGGCAGCACCGTTCCATTCCGTACATGTACCACACCACACACCACTTGCGTTGGTTCAGTTTGGGGTCGTACAAGTCGGAGTTACAGCACGTCCGGTACGGTAGGTACCATAAATCAATTTCTGTGCAGAGTAAATTGGTTTTGGTTCCAGTGCGCCAAGATAGGCTTTCAGGCCCTGGGAAAACGTCAAAAAAAAAAGAAAGGTTCAAAAATCAGTCACTCGACCGCCGGGCAATGAGATCATACATTCTTTCTGATTGAGCTTCACAAGAGCAACGAGGGGAACAGGTTCAGGAGGGTGCTCTTTTTCAAGGTCATGCACACACTTACGTACATACACACGCACAATGGGAGGATGCAACATGAGAAGTGACAGAATAAACAGAATTGTCTTTGAAGAAAGTCCATGACCAATGCGATCTATCCATCTTGTCCTGCGGATTGATCGGGGTAGGGATCAATTGTTCCAGAACCCGACCTTCCTGAATTCAGTTCAGATCGGGACGGTAATACCGCTATACAAGATTACAGGCTGTAAGTTACCAGTAAGTCCAGTCTTAAGGTACAATACAGTATGCTCATAATACCCGCTTTACGTAGCTTTAAACTTCCACGGAGTGAGTACCTTACACGCATCCCTTCTCCGCCCGTCAAGGATTTGACTACCACTGTCGAATTTAAAGGTCGAGAAGAGAAGTCCGCTCTTCTCTCTCCAGGCTCACTCCTCCTGGGGACCATCTGGAGAAAGGCCAGGGCTGGGGACTTCTTAACTCCATACATTGCCTTGACTAGTGGCTGCTAGCCTTCAGCGCCCCCCTCCCATTCATCGATTATGACGAACAATCATTGATCCGCGCTGTTGTTTTCCAGCTGGGACAATCGAATTGATCAACGGATGTCACTTCGAAAGATGAGGGAGGCTGTCCAAATACCTAGTACTCTTTATTGTACAGTACTTCAAAGGCAGGCTTAGACTTTTCCGCCATCTCCTCCTCTTAGGCTCTTTTGGGAATGCCATAGTAAAAGGAATGAAAGCCTATGGATCTTCGCCTTGCGTTGAGATCTTTCCCCACTTTTGCCTTTTCTTCTCTCCGCCTCTTTTGTCTCCCGGGATGATTGTCTTGCGGGTGCTGCTTTGAATCTTGCATGCACCGACACTTTACAATGAATCTGCCCATTTTGATAGACTTGTGTGAGTGGCGGAATTTGTGTTGGTTTCAAGTAGCGAGAGTAGAATGCTATTGTAGTATAACATCATTTGGTGGGCATTAGGCAATAATTCCCTACAAGGTTCAATGGCAGTGGTAATTTTCGTTTGGTGCTGCGTATGATGGAGATGGGATGGCTCCTAATCACCTATGCTGATGCTCTTTAGTTCGTACCTAACCTTCTCCTAGTCTCAACTGGTCGGGTGTAGTTAGTGGTTCTTTTTTTGAAGGAAGAAAAAAAAAATAATTCCTTGCCCTTCCCCCCTCAAAAAGGTGCTATTATTATTAATGGTTCTTTTCCCTTGAACGCTCTTAATTAATTCCTGACTATTGTTCTTTGCCGGGTGATTTCATTAACCTTCAGTGGGCCCTTGACACACCCTCCTTCACTCTCTTTGGACCTCTTTCTACACTCCTTGGCCCAAAGAGTAATAAAACGAAAAAAGGAAAAGGGAAATAAAAAGGTACAATACCTGGTTTTCCATGGGTTTCATTACCATACCGCCTTTCGCTTTCTCCCCACTTCTTAGTTCTGGTCCTGACGCTCTCTTTACGCTCTCCGCTCCAAGGCCGCCTTACACTCGCATCCCCGTTCCTTTGGCATCATCTCATCTCATCTTTCTTTCTCTTTCTCTCCTCCCCCTCCTTCCTCCTTTCCTCCCACTTGTGACGCTCTCTACCAAAAACATACCCAGCTACTACAGGACCAACTTCCTTGCCATGGGTCTTGCTAATCTCCCATTCCCGTTTGCTCTATAGCCTGCAGACTCCTCCAATCCTCTTCCCACTGTGTTGCTCGATCTATGGCGGATTGTCTTGCTTCGCCTTCCCGTGCATTCGGCCGCTGACCTGCAGCACCCACGCTGCCATCCGCCTCTGTTTCGGATCCTGAAGACCAGAGGAGCTCACACTCTCAGCTACTACTCACTGTTAACTTCGTTCTGACGCCTTTCGTCCTGTCGAACGTCTCTTGTCTCTCCCTCGACCCGCATTGTTTCTCTTACGGCCTCCCCATGTCCGCCCTGGAGGTTCCCGAGACCGGGGTGTCTCTCCGGAGAGACAACCACAGCAACGACGCCGCCGCCAAACCACCTCAAATAATGCGCTTGAATCTCGCGCAGAGCACCCTCGACGAACTTATTCAGAGCCTTCGCAACGATCAAACAGCTCGGCTTCGCCTCGGAAAACATCCGTCCCTCCACTACGGCACCAAATCCCATTCGTTCCACTCCCGTCTCGAAACGCACCGATCCGAGCTCTACACTAGCAATGCCACTGATAAAGAGAACCTATACTTCTCGGGTGTTTTGAGTCATAGCTTGGAGGTTCAGAAGGCCAAGGAGGCTACCGCCGCCACAGATCAGGCATTGGCCAACCTCGAGCAAAGCTTGAATGCCTTCGAAAGGGGAAAGGGCAAAACACACTTCATCAATGCTGGTGATGATGTACGAGCTCTCCGGGCGGGGGACGGTCGGTCGAGCACCGGCAAACAGGCCGCCCGTCTGGCTCGCAGCAAAGTGGAACTGGAGAAAGATCGATTGCTCACTGCTGCCAATCGGTCGGTGTCGTCGAGCCCAGCTCTGGGAGTGGCTCGATCTCCGGGAGGTCCCCTAACCCCTCTCACGCCCACCTCTGCACCCCTGTCTCAGAATAAAGACCGGATTCGCCTCGAAGCCCTCAAGGTCCCCTTCATCCACCTGCTCGCTATTCGCGCCGTGTCCGCCCAGTTCCTGGCGCGCCAGACCCGTTCCTCCCTCGAAGACTGCGAGACCCTGGCCCGGAAATATGGCCTGGAGAACCGAATCAACCCGGAGAAGTACGACCTTAGAGATAAATCCTACAAAGATCTCGACGTCTGGAAGTTCCCGTACCTGTCTCAGGAAGACCGCCAGGAGGCAATTGACAATGCTATCTCTGCATTCGATCGCATGCGGATCTCCCGCTCAGACAAGCTCTGGCAGATGCTTTTGCCGAAAGAGGAACGGGGTAAGGGCAAGTGCCTTTCTCGGCTGGACTTGCGAACAGGCCCCATCAAGAAGGCCCTGACCCCACGGATCCAAGTGCAACCATCCGATGACAATGGCAAAGACGGTTACATGACCGGCCAAGATACCGACAAAGGCAGTGCATCTGGCCTCACCCCCAGGGCTGGGGAGCCTACATCAGCTCCCAGGTCTGTGCCTACCGTGGCTAAGAAGCGGGCTGGTGATAAGGATACGCCGCTTAAGCGCCCGACTCCCAAAGTCAAGGCTGCAGCGAATAGTACATTGACTGGTCGCGTGACAAAGAAGGCTGAGCGGAAACCCGCCGGAAAACCGGATACCAAGTTCAAATCAGCGGAATTCGTACACGATTCTGATGAGGAGGACACGGATCTGCGCGATGCCTCGTCCGCAGACAAGCCTCCGGCAGAGCCCACCAAACTTCAACCACAAACAAAGCCTGCCAGTAAACCGGTCGAGACAGCTTCGAACAGGGAATCATCACACGTGCCGACACCCAAGGTGGAACAGCTGGACCCTATGATCAAAGCCGAATCTTCTCCTCAACTTTCTAGCAAACCTCCTGCTGCGAAGAGACCCCCTTCTGCGCGACCGCCTGCCCTAAAGTCCCCTGTGAAACCGTCGCCGCTTGGATCGTCGCCCCCGACGAATGCTTCTGATGTCCCAAGCCGCAGCCGTTCATCAAGCCAGAATAATTCGTCTAGTTCTTCCTCTTCTCCGCTCATCACTCAAATCTCCAAGCCAACCCGACCTCTCGCAGCGGCTGCCCCCACAATTCGAAAAGTGACAAAGCCGAATGGGGTGGCCAAGCCGTCTGAGCTTGCGAATCCATTAAAACGCAAGGCGGAATTGGATCGACCTTCATCCCATGTGCCAGGCCAGGGTCGGACTACGGGCGACTTGGAGCATAAGAGGCGACGGGCAGTAAGCACTTCCAGTGGCAGTACTGGCAGTGCTTCGCCGCCGCTTAGTCGTGAACTGCTCATGCAGCAGCTACACGAGAAGTCGCGGAAATTCAAACAATACTATGCCAAGTACTACGCGCTTCACGAATCATTAGCGTCGCAAGCGAAACCGTCTCAGGTAGACATAGACCGCCTTCAGAAGCAACACGTTCGGCTGCAAAGGATGAAGAAGGAGATCTGGGACGAAGACCGACGGTTAAGGGATTGACACTGACGACAGCGCATTGGATATCGCCGTGGGCTCGATGTCTTACTTTTTGTCTTGGATAGAAGGCCCAGATCATTCACAGCACAGGCTTTTGGGTGGCCAATCGTTATTGCTGCCGATTTTTTGGACATTGTATGTTGATTGCATAACGAAGCAGATCACCAGAATGCTTCGGGGGCGTCTGTGATGTTTCATGTTTTTCCTTGCATGGTTTTGATGTTTTTCATTTATCGTTCTTTTCCTTTGTCTTGTTCATATGCATATCTATATCACGCAGTCGCTGTCTCTTAGGGGTAGCGCCCGTGCATGTAAGTGGAATGATTTACTAATACTATGATGCTAACTCGGCGGCCGGACTTGTCATGGCGGCCGGGACGCAAGGCAGCTGCAAGGAGTTGGTCCTGCGTAGGACAAACTTGCAGCAGCCTCGGGGAGGAAGAGAGGTAGAATTAAACGAGATAGGAAACCAATGAGAATACTGATTGATACGCCAGTGGTCTAGTTCCCTGTAAGTTCTGTTCTGTAATTCTAGATTCCATGCCTTCCAACCGGTGGGTGAACGAGTCAAGGTCAATGGGGAGGTGGGCCGCGAGGATTCGCAGCAGCAATCGGAGGGATCGGATGAATATGCCTGGCCGGGCAGCCTGACGGAGGTACCCCCTGCTCTTCCTGCCTTAATTCTCGTGTACAGTACTGTACTCAGGTAACGAGGGAATTGAGAACTTCAGGTCATGCACGATGCTAAATCTGGGCCGCAAGCCTCTTTGCCCCTCGTGTGTGTGTGTGTGGCTGACGTTATGGTGCTGGCTGGGTTCCCTGCAGTATCTAAACCCCACCCCAAGTTGAGAAAAGTAAAGGAGAAAGAAAGAGGGAGGAGAGAAAGCCTAGTAGGGGAGTTACTAGTTTTCGGAGTAATGTTTCCAGGGACGCCCCATTCGTCTCCCCTCTTTTATCTACTAACTCTTCTCCTGTCTTGTGCTCCCAACCCCTAGGTCAGGTACTTGTACTGTTCCTTACACAGCATCTTCAAGTCAGTCCAAAGTGTTACTCGAAACCGAAACATGCATATCTGCTGAGTCCAGTACATGGACTGTTGACTACAATTCAATTGAGGGAGAAGTTACTGAGTAAGTCAAATTTACCCCGGATCAACCCTGGATGATTGTTGATGATTGATGGACAATCCCCGCTAATCCTGATCAGGGAACAGCCGCCCCCACCCTGCGCACGTGGCTGTCTCAATCATTCCTGTAATTTCCGTACGGTATCTTTCCAGCCTATGTTGGTATTCAATACCAGTATCGTTACTGTCTGGTATGGCGGGCGTCTAGACCGACGTCATCTGCCGGTCTTTTTCGGCAGGCGGTAAGTAGCATCAGCTGCTGGTGGTGCTTTATCGGCGACCCGAACTGAACCACGAAATTATTCCCCCGGGGCAAAGCATGCGCTTGCTGAGACCTCTCTCACCATTTCAGCCATCGTTCGTCGATTTTCGAGGCCCTATTTTCACGGTATCAACAAGTGCGACGTGACTCCAATTGAAGGCTGGCATCCGTCTCTTATTTGCTTTTTCGTGGTGGGGGCTCTTCCGGGCGAGAGTGACCGACTTTCGAGCTGCGCGTTGCGGATAGTTCTTCAACCTCCCCTCGCTCCTCCCGATCGGTTAGCCAGTTGTCTCTAAACAACTCTTGGGATCTCTGGCTTAGATTCCAGTGCATCGCTCGCGCATCATTACAGCTACTGTTGTCACTGCTGCATCACAGGTTTCTCGGAGCGAAAGGCTCTTTTAATCTGCAGGAGCTGTCCTTGATACCGCCGATTACCCATTATCATGAATCCCTCAAGAGGCCGAGGGCTGGGACAACGAAGCCCCCATGTCCTGGTAAGTAGCCATCAATCTTGGCGTTCTCTCGTCCGGACTTCTAGTTCCCTACACGTCGATACTCACTGTATGCTCCCCTTGGAACTAGGTAACCGACTCGCGCGATCAACAAATATCCTCCCAACCCCGCCGCCGTCGCTCCCCCGCAACCCGCTTCATCACCGTCGACAACGTCCTACAATACACCTCCGACGTGCCCTCCATGCAACAACGGTACGCTCCACAGGGCGCCCGGACGCGGCCCCGCTCCCGCATCGCATCAGCCGCCGGCGGACTGATCGGGGCCGCGGCCGGCGGAGCGGGCTCCTCCAGCGGCGGCAGCATCGGCGCAGCCAGCGGCAGTGCCGCGGCGGCCACGATCCGACGCCTCGCCGCCCAACCGCGGCTGCCGCCCCGCACCACCAAGGTCAGCGAGAAGCTCGTCCTGCTCCCCGAAGCGGACGGGAGGCTGCCGGAAGACGACGAGGACGAAGGCGAGGAGGAGGACGAGGAGGCCGTGGACGAGGAGTTCGTGCAGCGCGTCGCCCGGGACAAGAACCTGGACCCCGAGGCGGTGCGGCAGACCCTCCTCGCGCAGAAGAAGATGCGGCTGGACGGCGCGGACTTTGGCGTGGACAACGATATCGCGCCGCTGCTGGCGGACGAGGAGCTGCTGCGCAAGCGCAAGGTCGCGCCGGAGAAGGCCAAGAGCTACGCGGAGCGTTTGCCCAAGGCCCGTCGCGCCGAGAAGCTGGCGCGGGTGACGGCCTACTGCACGGCGCAGGCGTACAAGATGAGCTCCTTGGCCTCGTTTGTGAAGGAGAGGCATGGCGGCCGCACGAAGCTGTATGACGATTGTTTGTACACGGCGTATCATCTGCCGCTGTTGCCGGGCCTGGATGGGTACAGGCTGAGGAGTAGCCCCATGGTGAAGAAGCCGGGCGGGAAGTCGATCCTGGACGAGGAGATCGAGCGCAATGAGTTGCGGGATCATCACGAGGATTATCTGGTGGATGCGGAGGAGCATTCGGTTGTTGGCGGACGTCATGAGCACCGGTCGTCGCATCAGCAGCACAGTGAGGCGCAGCGACACGGGGATGAGGAAGAGCACCACCCGCAACAGGAGGAACAAGAGGAGCATCGTTCCGTGCCTGGCTCCGAGGCGCAGCCCTTCATGGGTGACGTTGATGGCTCGGGTCATCAAGCTCCAGCGGACGCGACGGCCGTGGCGGCACCAGCAGCCACACGTCTGCCGTATAATGTCGCGGAGATGTTCGTGTTCAGCTACGGAGTAGTGGTGTTCTGGAATTTCACCGAAAAACAGGAGAAGGATCTCCTCGCCGATTTGGCATTTGCAACGTCGTCCGTGACCGGGTCTCCAATCCCGTTGGCGACTTTGCCCCTGCAGGAGGAAGATTTCGAGACGGAGGAGTTCCATTTCGAGTACTCGACGGAGATCTCTCGCCCGCGCGTTTACAACGACATGATCACTCTTCGCAGCGGCGACCACATGATCAAGTTGGCCATCAGTCATGGCATCGCACAAAGCACCAAGCTCTGCTTCTTCGAAGAGGTTATGGCTCGCCAGATGGCCGAGGCCAAGGACGTCCCCCGCCGACTCGCCATGACAGGCAACCTTGGCATGAAACGAGAGGAAGTGTTCCGCATTCTGGGCAGTTTGTTTAAAAGCCGTGTGGAAGTGAATCTGTGTACGTTTGTTCGCACTTGAGCCAATCCCCCATTCAAGTCTCACACACTGACAACCCAAACCAGCATCCAACGTTCTGGACGTTCCCAACTTCTTCTGGGAAAGCGAGCCGACCCTGTACCCCCTCTATATCGCTGTGCGCGAGTACCTCGAGATCAAGCCTCGAATTCAAGTTCTGAACGAGCGCTGTAAAGTCTTCCTTGACCTGGCGGAGATTCTTTCCGACTCGATTGCCGACAACAAAACCTCCCGTAAGGCCGACACCTTCCTAACCCACCCTTTACACAATCTTCCCCCAAGTATAAGATCTGATAGTAACCCTGACAAACCAAACCACAGACCAAACATGGATCATCATCGTACTCATCTGCGTCTCCATCCTCGTCACCACCTTCGAAGTCTTCCTCCGATTCGGGCTTCTCTCCTCCCGTGAAGGAGGTGCCTCAGCCACAGCTACCACACCTATAAGCTCTCTCGCAGCCAATGTCCTCGCCCGGGCCATAGGTGGCAGCAGCAGCAGCAACCCCGCGTGCGCATGCTCATGTCCCGCTCAATTGCCCGGTAACGGATTGATGAACACCACACCGCCAACCATGGGATCACCTTACTAGGAACTGGAGGAAGTCAGAAAAAGAAACCCCCCTCGTGTCTCCTATCTACCTCTTCAAACCTTCTCGATGCCTTTAGATTAGCGCTCAGGATCCCGACACTGAACTAATCCTGCGAACCCGATCCCGAAACCCCCTGCTTGACCAGTCAGTGATCACGCTCTACCCACTTCCAATTCCTGTACTCGGTCATGTGACGCCATCCCACCCCTTCGGTCCTCAAGGTACTCCTGGCCCAAGGACTGAACAAACACCACTGTACATCCAGACAACGACCGAGTCAACCCCCCTCCTCCCAAAGCCAACACCTCACATCCCATTCAAGCACCCAGGCACCCAGGCACATGGGGAAAGGAAGCACCAAACCATCCTAAGAACTGTCCCTGTTCCCCTCCCCCCCTAGCCCTTCTCTCTTTTTTCCTCTTTTTTTTTTTTTTTTTTTTCCATTATTCTGATTCTCTTATCGCGGTAATCCATTTGATATCAATTAGGCAAGCACAGCAGGCTTCTGATTCTCGGTTTGAATTATTCTTGCTTTCTCTCTCTCTGTCTCTCGCAAACTTAAGCTTCCCCCTTTTCCGTTAGGCCCAGAGTTTCATTGGTCTCTATGTATCGGGCTGCATATCGCGAACCCTCTTGCTATGGTAGCTTTGTTCGAAGCCCCTAGTCGCAAAATGGAAGTAGAAGATAAGCCAAATCCAAGCCTGGACAGGTAGACCGTTGTTTTCTGTGGTATTGCCGTTGTGCTCTTGAGGTGACTTAGAGGGGAGGTCTGGTTATAGTACTAACAAGCTTATGTGACGTCATCGCGGATTGTGTACGCACATCGACGGAGTACTGCTACTCCGAATGGAAGAGCGTCCCATGCTTTAGATAGAGACATGTGAAATTCTTCTTACGAACGCTCGAGAGCAGGATGGGATGAAATCTCTAGAACACAATTGATTATGTAGTAGCGACGGGGAAGAGTATGTATGTAGTATGCTAACAATCGATATCTACAAATCGGGATTGATGCCGGTGCGAGGGAGGTAAGGTACGGGAAGGAGTGACAAATGAAACAAGGGAAAAGGAAAAATCACAACAAATGAAACAAGGGAAAAGGGGGAGGGCAAGAACAAATGCGGATGAAAAAATTAGGTAGGTATAGAACAATGCAGATGAATGATAGATGAAGAAAAAAGTCCAGACCAAAGACACAGATGACACCCATTGAAACCCCATACAGCCGAGCCTTGTAGCCAAATGATAAACAACCTTTTCCAACTCTATCTATGCTTCCACGTCCGGGTCATTTCGCTATTGGGAAAGAACAACAAGTAAATCAAAATGGAAAGGGGGAAAGGGGAAACAGACAACGATAACAATCAGCCAGGACTCCATCCAGTGCTCTTTTCCAGACCCACACTGGTGTATGCTATGATGATGTTGCTAGCAAACCTATCAACAGAAACAAACAGATGCCAGGATGATGATGATGATGATGATGTAAAGGATGAGGAACGATGTGGGAAATGCTAGGAAACTCATCGACGCAACAAAGGAAATGTAACAAAGGAAATAGAAAAGCAAACTTGGATGTTTGACTCCACCGGTGGTAAGGTGTGCAAGTCATCCCTCTGAAGAAGTCAACGGCTTCCGGTCACTTGATCACTTCAAGCATACGGCCCTGCCGTTTGCTGAAGCAATCCAGTAGACTGCCACACTAAACTGGAGTGGACCATGCACTGTCACCAAGTCTAGGCTTCATTTCATAGTTGTCCGGTTCGGTGCTGGCAGGTCGTCTAATGGTCGAGCTCGGGAAGTACATGTGGGGAGGCATAGAGCTCGCATACGCCGCACCGCTCGGCTCAGGATAACCAAAGTCGGTAGCAGAGCCGGGAGACGGGATGCTGGAATGCGACGGGGAAGCCCAGCCCAAGCTAGTCATATGCGGGCTACCACTGACGCTGTTGGGCCGGTGATCGTTGTTGGCAGGCGGCTCGAGGGGTTGAGGGGGCCCATAGCCCGAAGGATGCGAAGTCATTGAAGGTCGAACATGCGGAGCACTGCCATAGCTCGACAAGGAGGGCGACGTGGCCGTGGGAGAAGCTCGCGGACTGACCTGCGGGAAGCCACCTCGGACATGGGGTGGAATGGAACCGTTGGTCATATAGTAGTCGGAGCGGGGCATATTTAGCGGAGGTAGATCGCCAACAGGCGACACAGGATGATGCGCTGGTGAAGGGGTAGAATGAACCGAGCCATGGTCAGAGAACATATCTCCTGAGACTCTCGCCCGCTCCTTGTTCTGCCTCAAATTGGCTTCAGTCTCGGCAGCGGCCTCTTCAATGGTCCCAGTGTGGTGGTTTTGATGCCGCGTCAACGTAGTGCGACGAGTGAACGTCTTCTGGCAGTTCGCATAGGGGCACTTGTAAGGACGCTTTCCGGAGTGGATCCGGCGATGCCTAGCAAGAGACGACGAATCGCTAAAAGGCTACACATCAGGATAAAAGGTTAGCGACCGTGGGGCTTATATAAGGAACCACATGATGCATACCTTGCCGCATCTTTCACACATGTGTGGCTTTTCGCCAGTATGGACGCGAGCGTGCACGGTCAGGGCCGAGCGCTGAATAAATTGCTTGCCGCACCCCGGCCAATCACACGCGTGGGGTCGGATGCCCGAGTGGATGCGCTCTGAAGTGGCGTTAGAGAGTCAACAGCTGCTTGACGATGTGTAGGATGTGCTTACCGTGACGTGCAAGGTCACTACGACGAGCAAATCCCTTGCTGCAAGTTCCACAGTGGAAGGTCTTCGGAGGTGGATCCGGCCGGCCCTGGGGAACATTGGTTGGTAATTGACCAGCGCCAGCGTATGCTCCGGGGATGAAGGTGTTTTGCAAAAGAGGCAATCCTTGGTTGGGATGAGCCTGCGGCGCATAGCGCATATCTTGCTGCATGTTCGGCATTTGACTCAGCTGAGCATGATGGGGGTACGAAAGAACCTGTTGGTCACCAGGCTCGGCGCCAGGCTCCGCCTTCATCTTTGGCGAATGATCCATACCAGGGTTCGGGACCAGGTGCGCTGGATCGAAGGGTGTGTCTGCGGCAACCATGGCGGTAGAACCTTTTCTATTTAGGATGTTTGTGATGTCCATGACCCGACCCCGCGGGGAAGTGATAAAACGGCAGTCAGGGACAGATCAGGTCTCCACGAAAGGCGTTCTGGTGCTGAGCCGTAGATTTCCTCCACGACGTTGCTTCTCGAGGTTCTAAGCGACGACTGTAACTCCGGCAGCCGTGGTATTGCGAGATGGGCGGGAACAGTTCAGTTGGTGCAGAAGCCGAGACACCGATCGGAATCTGGTCGGATGGCTGCAGCGATACTGAAAGTCTCGAGAAAGTTGGAAGTTGAAGCGCACTTCAACAAAATCCGAGGTGGTTCAGGCAGGCACACGAGGTTGTCTAGGTCACTGAAAAGTGTGTCGCCACGTCTGTGCCGCGAGTTTGCAAGGATTCTCAAGTCACCGGGGGGGGGGGGGGGGTATTGGCTGGGCTTGCAACACGCCAATGTCGGCACAGTCGGTTTGTTTCGGCGGGACTCAAAGATAGCACTCACAGCGCTCTGCGGAGAGGGAGGGGTATGTATGTCGTAGTAAGAACAGCGACGGGGTAAATTGTTTCTGCACTGTGTGACAAGATTGTGAGAGGTTAGTAAGTTGCGCATAAACAATCATAAATGTAATGTGAGATCTTCTGCGTTCGACTGGACCAGCTTTGCCGATATTCTTTGCAGGAGACGCGCAAGTGATTGGATCTCCTTCATGTTATTTTTTTCTTCTTTCTTTTTTTCGCGCAGGCAAATTGACATTGAACCAACAACATTGCGCGCCAAACCAGAAAAAAGAGATTGCAACAGAAGACGATGCGCCAACGAAAACACCACCTCTGCAGAAGCAAAGATTCGGCAAGCGCCCATTCCGAAATTATGTGCCTGAGAATAGGCTTGTAGAAGTGCGCCAGGAAGAGATCCCCTCCCCGGGAAGGCGGCGAAGGGAAATTGGTGGTGGGCGGAGCGCGATTCGAGCGCACGGAGAGGAACTTACGGAGCAAGAGAAAATGGCTGACAGGTTTGCAAGGGGATTGAGCACAGCTCGTTACCAGCAAACGTTGCGCGCTGAAGCAGGGGATCGTCGGGAGATCCGTGGACGTCAAACAGATGCACCAAAAAGGTGTTCTTCGACGGAGCTTCTCGGGGATATTCCAGGAGCTGAAGGGAGGAATCGGAGACGATCGCACCACCGCAAATGGGATTGGATTCACGCAGGAATGACCACGGAAACCCAGAGGAAATGAAGAGGGTGTTGAGTCTTGGTTGGTAGAGTTGGAACTGGAGGGGGAAAATAAAAAGAAAATGTCAGTTTCGTTTCGGATCAGAGAATGACAGGAGACGAGAGGCAAAGGAAGGAAGGAATAAAGTACCAGGCAGGCAGACAGACAGGCAGGCAGGCGATGTCAGGTTGATGAAGTAAAGAAGAAGAGAAGAATAGTTGGAGGAGATGTAATGAATCGGTAAGGAAGAGTATCAGGTTGGTATCGAATATACAGCAGCACCCGAAACTTTCTATTGCTATTTCGTTCTTGCCTTTTCGGTTTTCTGGAGGAGGAGTTTCTTCTCTGCTCTTTCACTTTTCCTTTTTTTTTTCTCGCGCGCTCTCTCTCTCTTGAGCAAATGCGGCGCGTGCCTCTCTTTTCTTATTTATTTGCTACTCGAAGACATTCCTTTTCTCCCCAGGCAGAGCCGGTAATTTAGCTTAGCTGGTTTAGTGACCTTAGTTAAAATTGGTGTTTCTTATTATTAGTAGTTGCTCCTAGTGCCCGGTAGTAATAATAATTTTATTTTAATTGATTTATTTTATTTTATTTTATTTTTCCCTATTCTATGTGAAATTAGTCGGACTAAGCCCTGTTGGTCCGAGACTACAGCTTTACACGTTTCCACAGCGTGCCCCAAGTGGCTCCAGTGAACTCTCACGCCCGAAGAAGCTGGCGGCACCAGAAGGTCACCGTCAGCGCTCGGCTCCACAACGTGGCTTTCATTTCTCCTGGCCGTGCGAGAAAGAGAGTATACCCAGAACAACTATAGAGGGAAAATCCGCGCTGCTCCCACTTCTCCTTCTTTGCCTCCTCCTGATGGTGGTGGGGTGGTACGGGTTGATGCCGATCCATATGGATGATGGATGATGGATAGACCGTGGTGATATAGCTGTTGATATTCTCAGTTTTATGGTTTGTTGTTTGATTTGATTGCTTGATTGATTGAGAGCTTCTTATGGTCATTCATTTTACCTTTCTCCGACACATCGATGTTGATTTTATGTTAACCTCCTCATCTTCTCTGTCCCCTCCCCGAATCTCCTGGTCGCGCCATGATGCTGAACGATCCTAGCGGAAACAAGAACCGTGTCGGACAACGCGCCTTGCTCAGGAGATTTCGACCCGCCAGGTAATAAGATCGAGCAGCCATCATCCTGACCTATACTTTAGCAAGTAGACAATGAACGTAGAGGCCAAGGTGTTCCTTTTCCACCCCCCTCTCCCCCTACCCCTCCTCCCATTCCCCTCTTTGATCGTGCATGAAATCGAGGCTAGGAACTAGACCGGTGACCGCATCACTGTCTCGGAAGCTTAAGTGCTGCTTACCCCAGGACATGTTCTCAAGGGGCCTCTTTCTGCCCCCTTCCCCCACCAGCCTTCCCCCCCTGGTTGGGAGTTCCTGCAGGTGATGACGCCTTCACAGGGGGGAGGGGAAGATGGGTTCAACTTAAACAGGTGACCGTGTCGGTATCGTGCAACCTGCACAAGTGTCCCAGTTCAGTGTTTGGCCGCGATCAGGCATCAATCCGCGTGAAACGTTCAGTTCGCCTAGGATCACCCTTTGGCATGGCGACGACCTTACCCTCCTGTTCTGAGGTCATAATCATCGCCATGGGCTGTTCCTCTGGCCTCTGGGGTCGGACAAGGACAGTTGTCGGTCGGGAGAATTCGACTCTCCTCATTCGTCAACAGCCCTCCTGGTTGGAAATTTCAGGACAGTCTGGATTGGAAGAAGAGCGCCAGATTACGAACAGGACAAATAGCCGTGGCGGGCGACTGACCCCGGGCGATCCGGCTGTTCGACGGGACGGAGAATAATGATAATACGGTACGTCTCCGTATGGAATAGGGAATTCGATTTCCCCCCCCCCTTTCGGGAGAGGGGTCCTAAACCTGGCCTGTGGTTACGGCAGAGCAACGGTTGAAAGTTAATTTCCTTCTAGAAAGTTTCGAATGATGGGGAGGTGGAAAGAAAAAAAAAAAAGGGATCGGGCATGGTTCCCAGATTGGCAGATTAAGCCCAGAGGGAGCTTTGGACACACCATTGCCTGGTTCAAGACAGTTCTCCCCACTTTCATCGCCGTCGTCCGACCGCAGCTGCAGGGACAGGTTGCCCTGGACCTCTCACCGATCTGCATGTCACGTAGGACCGCATGCTGACTGTCGCGGCAATGGGAGAGGCGATGACCACACGCGCACACACGGGCTAACTGGTAACTGTAAAAGCAGAGCTTGATGGGGCTTCTTCGTGATAGTCGCAATGAGTCTAGGTTTAGGTTGAGGAGTACGGTCAAAGGACCAAAATAAATAGAATAATAATGGAAAGGAATCGGAATAGCAATTGATGGGCCGTGGAGTAAAATGTCGACGACTCGACAGGTTGTCTTTCCTGTTACTGTGTAGTTTCTGCGACTAGTCGCCTAGCCCGCCTTGCTAGTTGTTGACGGACCTGACGGAAGCAGCAGCAGCAGCAGCAGCAGCAGCAAGCAGCAGCGAGGCGACTTTCAGTGTTCCAGTTCCAGTTCCAGTTCTAGTTCCAGTTTCCACTGTACAATACGTACTCAGCTGTACTGCCCTCCTCCTTTTCCGGGTCTCCGATTCAGTCCATTATTTTTCTCGCTTCCCGATAAGACTTGGAAGATGAGTGCCCATGATGATGCTTCTATTTCCTCATACTTCTTTGTTTACATTCGAACCGGGACAGCCTCTAATACCAGTCGTAACCTTGATGACTTCTCCCTCTCCCTGAGTTAGCTTCTCCTTTCCCCTTCTTGATCCTGACCTGACCTGACCTGACCTGTGTTTTTCTTTTCCCTTGTGCAGAAAGTGGCTCCACTCCGAGACACACTACTGGATGACCAGTATCGCACCAAGACCAATTCGGCCAATGAAGGAAAAGTGCCAAGGGGGGATGGGCTTCCGTTGAGCTTCTAGAAGAAGTCGGAAGGGGGGAAGGGGGCATGGAAGGTCAGGAAGGCTTCTAGAGGCCTTTCTTCCCATGTGCCAGTGCGGCTGCGTCACCCACCTGGAATGCCGGTAAGTGGCCGGTGGGTGGCCATGTCTTGCTCCTGACGCCCGTGTCACATCCCTGTCTGGGGTCCAAATCTTCTGGTAGGATGTGTATGCGTGTGTGCGTGTGTATTTATGACTTCGAGACAAGCGCGAATTCTCAGTCTCCAAGTCCGCATTGGAGATCATGAGGCGGGAGACGGAGCACTCAGCAGACCCAAAATATGCGCTGGTCAGAGTGTCATCCTAAGCACCCTAGCCGAACCAAAGAATGGGATTATTATCATGATCACGATCCGTCCGCATCGTCATCGTTGCCGGTCATCCCTGCAGCGTCCGTGTTGGCCGTGGATCAGAATGAAAATGATTTCCTGGGCCCCACGCTTGTCTTCCCGTCTCGGGGCGTTGGGCCACCGTAATGGTGGTATTTTTCTTATTAAAATGATATTCATATTTCCGTCGCAATCTCGCAGATCGCCGTGTCGCCTTTCCTAAATCGAGTCTTGGTTTCCTTCGACTTGGCACACGTAGGCAATGAGACTCAGGGAGTCAGGGGTGCTCGGAGTCTTGACAAGGGGGAGGAGGGAAGGAAGGTAGAATGCGATCGATTGAGAAGTATCCCGCAGCATGACGCTCTCTGCCGTGTCAATTAATTAAAGCGATTCTTGCAGTTGTAACAGGGGGGAATCAATCAGAGGGCAGGACGATTGGATGAGCGGGCTCAACTTCATTGCGACTGGTCGGTTGAGGTTTCATCTGCTGGTTTGAAGTGCGCCAACTGCGCTCCAGGCCTTTCCACTGCACGGAACGATGGGGGATGCGTCTAGTAGTGCCGTAGTAAACAGCCGTTAGATTGATGAGGAGGCATTGTACATTCACATTAAGCAGCTGTCTCATGCAGAAATGCAGGAGAAGCATCTCCGGTGGTGCTCCGCGCTTGGACCAGGCAGGTATCAGATTCATGTCGATGTATGACACCGGCCTGCAGGTTGAACACTGAGCAACTCTTTTCACTTCTGTTTTCTCTTGATCTTATTAGCCAACCTTGCATGCCACACTTCTCTCGCTCTCGAACGAGACTGTTTGCCCCCTAGGGAAGAATTTCTGCCAGTTGAGCACTGTCTTTCCTACTCGACTCGGACATGTCCCGCATCTGCCAGGTTCCGTTGTTGTGAGCTCCGTACTTAATGCACACATAATCTATAGCAGTGCTGTACATCCGATACCTAACTACCTCAAGTTGCAGTCAAACTTCGTACGGAACCTCCCGGTAAGCCCTCATCAGGCAACCAGCACGGACTATCCGGTAGAGCAGGAAGAGAGCCCTTCGCAGGACTGAAGCACACATGACGTGCCTCGGCAACATTCGCCTCCTAGTACGGTACTAGAACCCTCGATGGGCTTATACCCAGAGTGGTATACGGAGATCATCATGTTCCTCTAAACTACACCACCCATACTAAATTAGTGCTTAATTGACAATCACATAGTATTCGCATTTCGAACCCATCGGCAATCTGCCGTTGAACCAACGCAAGCTCTTGCAGGTCTGCCCCGAGTCCTGACTCCTCAGGTGTGTCTCCCACACCGTCTGTTCTCTCTCCTAGTCTGATCGACACCCTGTTCGAACTACCAACATAGACTCTTACTCTACCAGGCTATAGTGCACTCTCTGCCTCAGCTCCCCTCCAACCCCATCCGTCATACCGACCCTGATCGTCAGTCTGGCATCCGGAAAATGAAGCCACCTCGACACTAGAGAGAGAGGACTAAGACTCTAAGCGGTAAAGTGAGCGTGGTTTCCCTCCCTCTCGCCAGTCCGTTTTCCAGTCTCCTCCCCAATCCCCTCCTTCACCGTCATTTTCTAGCACTAGGCTCCGGCCGAAGCGCAGCATCAACTCCTCTCCGCCGTCCAAGCCCCGGAGACATCCACGCACAACTTTCTTCCGAGGAATCATGATCCACGAATAAAGGAGGCCTCGATTCGATTCGACCCCCCTTGGTGCCGAGTCTTGACTTGACAGCTCATCCACAATGACACGAAAAAGGGGAGACCAGAGCCCCATAACCCTACTTACCCGGGTGGAGGACTATGGTGCTGGACTCCATAGCGCTAAATTAGGAATGTTTCTGGAAGCAGCGTAGAAGACTTGCAAATTAGGGAAGTAGTGGAATAGGGAGGGGAGGGTGGGGAGGGAATGAAGAAAGGGAGGGGTTTCTCTTCTGGTCACCCCTGCTTCTGTGTTTCCAGTCTGCGCCACTACTCGTGGGTTGATTGGCGATCCGAAGAGAAAGGGGAACGAAGATGGTGCTGGTTGTACGAGGACGTAGGTTATTGTTCAGTAGACGCCGCCACACCGACATCGACGGAGGTGGCTCCTCTCTTGGGTTTGGCTTGGTTAGTTAGGGTTGGTTCGGAAAACTGGAGTCTAGCAACGAAAGAGCGGTGGACGGTGAGTTGGCTGATTGAGTGAACTAAATCGTCCCTTATGTTATTTGCGTGTACTGACTGAACAGTACGAGAGCCATCGTTAACTTACCTGTAGAGGGAGTTTCTCTGTCTACTTGGGAGGTCCCAAAAGCAAGCAAGTGTGGCTCATGCAAACACACTGCACTGTTCTCAAGAAACGCCAACTGGTCAATGTCGCCAAACATCCAGCTCGGCTTGGCATGTTTGTTCAGCCCGCCGCTTTCCGCATCGCAGACTGTCCGGCCGACCAAACTTCGGCTTCAATTCTGCCCAGTGTAGCAAGAGATCACCTCAGCGCTCAGCTTTCGGTCCTAGATACTCAATCCCTTCAAGTCGTCGATCATGAACACAGCTTTGATCCGACTTTTATAGGCCGTACGAGCATCACATAACGGACGTACATCTTAGCCAAGGAGCTTAACACCCACCAACCAGACAACCAATACTCTTTCAATCGACACACACCTCCTTCGCAGAACACCACAATCGCTCCCCCCTCCTCAAACCACCACCAGAAACCATGGCATCCCGCCGCGCTCTGCGCACGCTCAACCGCCTCGCGACCCGTCGCGCGCACTCCACCAGCTCCGTCTCCGCAAATGAGCTTTCGCATTTCTCGGCCCTGGCCAGCAGCTGGTGGGATCCGCAAGGCCCCTCGCGCGTGCTGCATCTCATGAACCCGCTCCGCCACGACTTCATCGCCACCTGTCTCTCCGACGCCCTTCCTCCTTCCTCCACCTCCCCCTCCTCTCCCGCACCAACCACCCCGAACACCCTCCGCTACCTCGACATCGGCTGCGGCGGCGGCATCTTCGCCGAATCGCTCGCTCGCAGCATCAGCACCTCCCCGACCTCCCAGACAGCGACCCCGACGCGGGCCGCCGCCATCACAGCGATCGACCCGTCGACGACGCTGATCCAGATCGCACGCGACCACGCGCGCCTCGACCCCACGGTCGACGCGCACCTCCGCAGCGGCCGCTTCGAGTACAAGAACTGCACGCTGGAAGACCTCATCGCCTCGCAGCAGCAAACATCCCCCTCCCCAACAGCCACCACCACCACCACGGCGCAAAACTACGACATCGTCACCCTCTTCGAAGTCATCGAACACATCGAATCCACCCCGTCGGCGGGCATCTCGCCGCAGTCGTTCCTGACGGACTGCCTGCGGCTCGTGCGGCCCGGCGGCTGGCTCATCGGCTCGACGATCGCGCGCACCTTCCCCTCGTGGCTGGTCAACCAGGTCATCGCCGAGGCGCCGTGGCCCATCGGCGTCGTGCCGCGCGGCACCCACGAGTGGCAGAAGTTCGTGAATCCTGAAGAGTTGGAAGGGTGGGTGCAGGAGGGGCTGATGCGCGCGGCGGATGGCCGGGCGGTTCGGGCGGGCGCCGCGGCGCTGGAGGGCATGCGCTGGAAGTGTGTCGGGGTGGTGTATTTCCCTGGGTTCGGGTGGAAGCTCGTGCCTGGGTCGGAGAGTTGGGGTAATTACTTCTGGGCGGTTCGGAAGGGGGTTTAGTGATAAGACAGAGAGAGAGAGAGAAATAGCTTCGCACAAAAGGCTGACTGCTTTTCTTACGTGGGTGGAAGAGAGCGATTTGTATGATAGATAGATTTATGTATTTATTTGTATGTACCTACCTGTGTAGGGATAGACTACTGGGGTTTTTCGTCATGTTGCAGAATTGAAGCGAATGTTTTACCGACTCTTGTCTTTGTGCCATTAATGTAAGAATGTTATCTGGATCCTTGTGGTTCCAAAGTGTGGGCCTGAAAACAACCATCGAGGGATGGAATCATCGTCTATATACAGATACCTAGTAGCTACTTCCTCCTCCCCTTCCCTTTCTTCTTCCCACCACTAGGCGGATCAGGTACGCTGACTGTCCCCTCCTGCACATCCTCCCCTTGATCCTTCAACCGTTCAGACCCGCTGATGAAAAACGTGAGGTCGCGATTCTGCTCCGTCAGGTCTGCGTTGGCAACCTTGAGGCCCTCCACCTCGGCACTCAGATGCTGGATCCGCGCCATCAGGCTCTCATTCATCGTCTTCTCCTCGCGCCATTCCTTCTCCAGCTTGCGCGCCATGGCCTCGAACCGCTCCGCGCGCTTCTCCGCGCGGGACTTGTCCCGCTCCAGGCCCGGGATCGTCTCCGCCGTGAGCTTCTCGTACTGGGTCTGCAACTGGTGCAGACTCGTGACCGCTTGCGATGCGGCCTCCTGCGCGGTGCACGCCGCCGCGCTAGCCTGCGAGGCCTTATCCACGGCGCGCTCGACCACTTCCTCAAAGTAGGCGCGCTGGCTCTCCAGTTGGCTGGTGAGGAGATGCGTGTACTCCACACTCATGTTCTCCAGTTTCTCGCGAGGCACGGCGTCCGTCCAGTCCGGGGGGTCGAGCGCGCTGTTGTCCGCGGCGGGGAGCTCGACGAGCTTGCCGTCCGTCTTGCTCTGGATGATGCGGTGCACGTAGGCGTCGCCGACGTAGTCCCAGACGCGCTGCGTGGCGAGGTCCATCGCGAAGGCGTGCGCCGTCTCCTTGTAGTGCGCGAAGGCGTGCGCGCCGTCGTACCGCCCGCAGCCGACGCTTCCGCAGATAAGACAGACCCAGAGGTTCATGTCGGAGTGGCAAACGGTACACTCGGCTGACTCGTCCTCGGCGGCCATCGTCCCCTGGCTGGTTCGACGAAGGTCATGTTGAGTGTAGCGACACACAGGGCAGCCGCTGCCTTTCCATTTCTGGAGGCAGGTACAGTGGAAGACGTGTTGACAGATGATCGTCAGTAGCCCGGTCGTCTCATCCATGCGCTCCAGGCAGACGGGACATGTCGGTAGCTCGATGAGTGCGGGAGTGGGAGGGGCGAGGGGTCGGGACGAGAGCGTGGCCGAAGGAGCGGCGGAGGTGGACGCGGAAGCTGTGCGGACCGGACTGGCCGTGGTATTGTGAGAGGATCCAAGCGCACTCTGTTGACTGCTGCCTTCAGAGAGTGTCCCCGGCCCGACAGCTTGGATCTCAACCGTCTTCACGAAAACGACATGGCATGTTTCGGGCTATTGGAAGCAAGGGCGGTTAGCATCATGTTCCTCACATGTGCGTGCCATGCGGCTGCACCACAATTCTAAACTTACCTCCATGCTATTGAACACCTTCCCATTCCAGTCCTTCTGCCATTCTTTAGCCTTCTTTCCACTGCGGAACTTCATCAAAACCATGTACCGATTCGCTCGAGCTGTCCTGATCATCCGGAAATGACTGACGTCGTTCATCGTCGTCTCGCCCACGAATCCCAGAAGGTCCGACGGGGACATGTACGACGGAACGGCAAGGATGCATAGTGTTGTGCAGTCCTCGTCCGGCATGGTCTCCGGACGCGAGGCTCGACTACCGCCCCCCTCATCGAAAGGCTGTCTCGCCGCGGCCGCGGACCCTTTCAATTCGGCAGGATAGTCATCCTCAATCAGGTATGGTGTTTCATGCACATCACGGTAAAGATGTACTATACCCCAGACGCTTTCCGATGCGCTTTGGCCCCACGGTATGTATTTCCCTGTGGTGCGAAGTCCACCCAAGATATCCGTTCCGATGCCGGTCGCGATGGGATTGTCGCTGTCGCGGGATGGCCGCCAGCTTGTCCGGTTCGAGACAGCCGTCTCCTGTTCCGATGGGATCATGTCAATGCACTCGATCGAGACTTTGTCTAATCGAAAGTCCTGCTCGAGTTCCGATGCGCTTGTTGAGGATATTGTGAAGAGGTGAGGGGTAGATGTGTTTGTAGCGGCGGTGTGAGTGGAATTGGTGGAATTATCTGGCGACGATGAGCTCTGGTATCTTTTTCCGTTCGGATGTTGGCGAGCGTATCGACTGGCCCCGTTCTGTGAAGGACGTGGGCGTTTCTGAAATGGGAGCAGAGCTTCACATGCGGAGTCGAATGACAATGTAGTAAAGTGTCGGCCTGCGCCTGCACTGGCGCCTCTGAGATCGGAATGAGGGCGAGCAAAAACTTCAACCGCGAGGTGATAAAAGTATGAGGGCATACCGACCGCTACTCACATCTCTTCTCCTTGCTGGTCTGCGAATTTTCGAGCTCGTCGTGTGTGGGTTATAGCAACAAACCGGTGGGCTATCCCGTCGGCGACGAGAGACAGCCCAGGGATCACGTGTGGGTCATCCGGGGTGGCAAGTGGGACCCAAATGACCCAACGAGAGCTGCTGAAGTCATGTTTATTTACAAGCTGATGTACATGTTTTCCTACATATTAGAAGTCCTTACGAGATGTAAGAGAAGCCAAATTTGTTATAATCCGAAGATTGCCATATTCTGGGAAGCAAAGAGAGAACACCAATTAAATGGTGATACAAAAAGAGGTATGTTCGAATTAACCGTGTCATAAAAAGCCATCAAAAACCTTCCGAACGCCATGCAGTCCAGTCAACCTGTGAATCTGAAACTGTGCAAGAACCAGAGAATCAGTTCCCACCACGTAGGCGGAGGACCAAGTGCAGTGTGCTCTCTTTCTGAATATTGTAGTCAGAGAGTGTACGGCCATCCTCCAGCTGCTTACCAGCGAAGATGAGACGCTGCTGATCAGGAGGGATTCCCTCCTTATCCTGAATCTTGCTCTTGACGTTGTCGATCGTGTCTGAAGACTCAACTTCCAAAGTGATCGTCTTTCCCGTGAGCGTCTTAACGAAGATCTGCATACCACCACGCAGACGCAACACCAAGTGCAAAGTGGATTCCTTTTGGATGTTGTAATCGGAGAGGGTCCGGCCATCTTCCAACTGCTTTCCAGCGAAAATCAGACGCTGTTGGTCCGGGGGGATGCCCTCCTTATCCTGGATCTTGCTCTTCACATTGTCGATCGTGTCGGATGACTCAACCTCCAAGGTAATAGTCTTTCCAGTGAGTGTCTTGACGAAAATCTGCATACCACCACGCAGGCGAAGGACCAAGTGAAGAGTAGACTCCTTCTGAATGTTGTAGTCGGAAAGGGTACGACCATCCTCAAGCTGCTTGCCAGCGAAGATCAAGCGCTGCTGGTCAGGAGGGATACCCTCCTTGTCCTGAATCTTCGACTTGACATTGTCGATAGTGTCGCTTGACTCAACCTCGAGAGTGATGGTTTTGCCAGTGAGTGTCTTGACAACTGCGATGAAGTCAGTATTCGATAGAGTATCCACAGTCACCTGGGTGGCAAATCCACGTTGCAGCAAGGAAACCTACAAATCTGCATACCACCACGAAGGCGGAGCACGAGGTGAAGGGTAGACTCCTTCTGGATGTTGTAGTCGGATAGAGTGCGGCCGTCCTCAAGCTGCTTGCCGGCGAAGATCAAGCGCTGCTGGTCGGGAGGGATGCCCTCCTTGTCCTGGATCTTGGACTTAACGTTATCGATGGTATCGCTCGATTCGACCTCAAGGGTAATGGTCTTGCCGGTCACTAGATGGAAAGGTGGCGTCAGAAATAGGTCTAAGATCTGGTTAGATGATGGATGATACTCACACGTCTTGACGAAGATCTGCATGATGGAAGACGTTTAGGGGTCTGCAGTAAACGGTGTGAATGATACTGAGGTTACGAGAGAGGGAAGTGCGAGTAGTAGAGCACAGATGAATCTGTGTAATGACAGAGAGGTAGGGATGATGGAAGGAGGAAGGAAGTAGCGGGTGAAAGCAGGAGAAGGAGGCTTAAGTAGTCGGGCGAAGAGGGAGAGATGAGGGGAGGCGGCGGCGGAGGCGAAGCGCCTTAGTCAGATTCGAACAGGTCAGTGATAGGCAACCAGGCCCGATAACGTGATGCAAGGGAAGGAAGGAATACTTAATTAGGCACTGGGCAGTGAAAGAGACGGTTCGGGTCGGGTTAGTCGGCTTAATACTAGGTAGTGAGTGACCATGTGTGTAGAGGACCGTGTTAGTCCGTGTCAGCGCCCCCCTCTTGTACCTGTTGATTCTAGCATCTCCTGGCCCATTCTCGCACTACTAATCCTCGAGGTGGACAGTGAATGGCTGCCATGATCCTGCGTCATTTGGCTCCTCCAATCTACTTCATTTCCTGCGCGCTTAGGAGGAATCTACTAGAAACTTACGCTCCAACCATGGGGTGACTCAAGACTCACCCAGCGCTTTCCCGGGCAGTTGCTTATCTTTCGCCTAGACGCAACCAAAAGAAGCCTGTTTGGTGCAAAAGAAATCTCTAACTGGGTTCAGGCAAACATTCGCCTTGCTCAGCCGTGTCTGGCTGTCTGGTTGTCTGCCAGAGAAGAATGCCTGGTATCAGTTCCGGCCGCAGTTGAAACGGTCTGGGCAACGCCCGTCCGCATCCGCCACTGACGCCACCAGTCGGCATCTCACCCCGGATACAAGAGTCCTCGCTCGTGTTCCTATTTCGAACGGCTCCGGCTATAAACCTCAGAATACGGGGAGTGTCTTCTACGCAGATTCCATTAGCGATGTTTCTCATCCCCGCTTGATGCTAGACAGGCTGTTTTGGCGACTGAGGACATACTTGTTACCTAGCTGGCATCACAGCGATGACGTGTAGGGAACTCCTTATCGGGGCTCAGCTTCACTATCGGGGCTGGAAGCGGGATAGCGGAGAGACACTAGCGCTTAGAGAGGGTCAGGTGATCGACGCATCCGGAACGCCCCCGCTTTCCTGTTGTCGGGTAGACTATCTTACACTGTCCGGACCTTGGGGTAACTCGAAGAAATGAGAGATGGAGCTGGAGATGTAGAGCAAGATCCCATCGCGTCTGTTTACACTACCAATAGCATCTGACTTTCTCTCTGGATTACCTCAGTCACTTCCCCTAATTTCAAGGATATCATTTCCGTGCCGATGATCCATAATTTATCCCGGAACCGAGGGCCATCCCTCTGATCACGACTACTCATACATTACCGACTCAAGAAGGTTTTCATAGTCGCTTTAGCGCTACGTGCTCGATTTTGGGGCACTGATTGACTCATTTTGAGTCCCGTCGAACGACCCGAAACTGGCATCAACACATCAATACCTTACACATACATTCAATTGGGGGAAATAAGCATGCTTCGCAGATGCGGTCAGGAACTTCCCGTCCACTAGACCCAAATTACAAAAAGTCTGAATGGAACCAAACAGAGAAACCAAATGATTATATTGTACTGCTGTGCATTGGTTGGACAAGCTTTTGTCTTCTGATAATTTATCTTAATTTTTTTTTTTCTAAATGTTTTTCTTACCCTGCAACCAGGGTCCCGTGATAAGCAGCCCTGCGTCAAGCTGTCCTCCTACAGTATCTCATCCTTGCCACTTCAAATTATTTTGATATTGATATAATCGACCCTACACCCCCCACCCCAATGCACCGCAGATATTGAAAACTGTTTGTTGATAAGATTGCATCAAAGACTTCCACATATAGCACACCGACCTCCTCAGACTCGAACTAAATGAGATCCAAGCCCATATCTACCGTCGTGTCGACTAAACAGGAACATTCATGCTTTGCAGAACAGTCAGTTAAGTTGCAGTCAGAGGTAGTGAGAGAGGTCATATAGATTCGGGTCCAGCCTAGACAAAGTTCAGTAGGCCAGGGGAGCAAGTGCAGAAGGGAATTATAGTTGTGTAGAAAACTGCTTACAAGTTGTTAGCATGCTGATTGTGTTTCACATAAACTCGGCCTTCTCTTTGTGTCGGATGTCTTTCCCAGATCACGCATCGTGCTGCTATGTTGTCCGAGGTAGAGCTATGAGCTAGGTTATCTATCTATTTACTGGCACGGTGAGTTGGCCTTGACCTTAAAGTGAAAGAGGGGAGAAAAGGCATGCTTCATGGTGGAAGCGGGTCGGAAAGGGAATGCAGGTAGGTGTAGAGACTCCGTCCTGTGGACGAGAAGCTGGTGCACACTCAAGGATGGTGAGAAAAGGTCTCTTGATTGTAAGTATTTGCTTGTCTGATGTCTGGAGAGCTACTATATCCTTACCCTACAATCCATTTTATATTATACCCTTTCCTTTCCTTTACTCAGCCCCCCGTGGCTCCCTCAATCCCATATTCCCACTTTCCCTCCTACAATAGCTTCTCAGATAGATGCCTATGTTGATCGTCCCTCATGATGTTTGTTTGCTGATTTGCCTTCTCAGGTAGATCTCCCAAGAAGATTAGTCAAGCCTTTTCTTGGTTCCATGCGTATTCTATGCGGCATGAACTGTAGGTTGAAAGTCTTACTTGTTTTGCACATTTTTGATCAGAAAAGAACTAGCTCTAAGTCTGTGCGCTCTTTCCATGCCTCAGGAGGTGCTCAAGACCTCTACACAATGCGCTTTGACTATATGCATGGTTTGCTACAACTTCATTGATCATGGCTGCAGGCTTTGAAGGTAGTCTTCTAGCTTTCGAAGTGAACCTGTTGAGCATCGCTTGGAGTAATACACCTTAGGAGCGAGACACTTCATGTAATGTAGGATTTTTGATTGGGACCTAATATTGTGACAACCTAGACTTGCAGTCATGGCTATTCCAGCCATCAAAAGCTCAGCCTAGTGACATCTCAAGCATAGATGGTGAATTTATCTACCATATGATTCTCCCGCCTTTGCAATCTTCGCGCCAAACCAAAACATTACTTCCAACTTTCTCCCGTACAGGCATCTGACCCTCTCTACTTTAGAGGGTCAGAGCTTAGAGTTCTCTTCTTAATCTAGGTTGTGCCTCCTGATTCTTGATCCTTGTCTTCCGAACCCAGCAACTACTCTCAACGCTTCCTTTCAAACAACCAAGACTTTCCCCCACCATCGTATGACAAGCTCATCATACTCAACATGTACAAATGCGAAACATGTTCTCGCCAATTCCATTCATGGTCTGCCTGTGAGCAGCACATGACTGCCAAGGGGCACTGGGAGACATTTGGATGTGAGACCTGCGAGGAGGAGTTTGACACAGAAGAGGAAGCAGAGGACCATATGCAAGAGTACGACCACTACGCGTACAACTACTCCTGCGAAACCTGCGATGAAATGTTCCGCACAGAGGAAGATGCAGATGAACACATGGCCGACTACAGTCACTATGCTCCCCGGTTCTCTTGCGAAACATGCGACAAGATGTTCTACAGTTCTCGGGCGGCCAGTCGCCACATGGACTCTTTGCAGCACTGGGCTCCCCGGTTTGAATGCGAGACGTGCAACGCAGTTTTCTACACACAGGATGCTGCAAATCGGCATATGACCGCAAAGACACACTTCAGCAATTACTGCCCCAGTTGTGACAGATGGTTCCAGAACGAAAACAACCTGCAGCAGGTAAGGCAAGATAGCTAACATATACAACTCCGGTAAGATGACTGACGGGCCTCTTCACCTCTAGCATCTGAGATCGAAGATTCACCTCGGCCAGAACATACTCTGCCCCTTCTGCAAGAAGACGTTCACCACGGCTAGTGGAGTGGCTCACCACCTCGAGACCGGCTCCTGCACTTGTGCTCCCCATCTCAACCGCGAGTCCATCCATGACCTGGTGCGTTGTCTTGACAAACAAGGCAAGATTACAAACAAGCTGCTTGAGTGGCATGCTAGTGACACCGGTGAATGTTTGGTTTCCTCAAATGCCTATAATGGGAGTGCCTGGGAGTGCTATATTTGCCATAGAACATTCAAAACTTCATCCGCGCTCAATCAGCACCTGAACTCACCTACGCATAAGCAGCGAATCTATCATTGTCCCAATGTCAACCACTGTGGCAAGCAGTTCATCGCTTTGGCCGCTTTGTTCAACCACCTAGAGAGCGAATCTTGTTCCTATATGAGATTTGAGAATGTCCAGAGAAATGCGCAAGGCCTTCTTACAGGGAGGAATCTCATAGGATTTTGATCGCATCCTTGATATGTTGCGGATGAGATCGCAAGAACGTTCCGAGAACCAAACCTGAGCAGGCGATGTATCAGTATGTCTTTTTTCATGAAAGATTCGGTGATTATGCTACGTGCTATTTGACGTGTGTTTGCTGGCTTACATGTTTCAGCATTGTCTAAGCATGTTATTCCGTTTTCTCGCAAAATACGCTCATCAAGGTCCGGTATCAGTGTATCTTATCCTGACTGTCTAGATTCAAGCCCATATCTGTGTAAGCACTCGCACTACAAGCTCAAGCTCAAGCTCAAGCTCAAGCTCAAGCTCAAGCTCAAATAATCATACCAACATTGAACTCGCTACGAAGGAGTCAAAGACTCTCAGGGACAAATCTTCACTGCGTAATCCCACCCCTCCCAGCCATGACCCCGTGACTGGGATGAACAACAACAGCGCAAACAATTTTAAACCATAGAAGTTCAAACGGACATCTCCTCCCGCAAAGCCGGAATTGCAAGTAGCAATTGACCCAAGATCTTGGACAGCCTCGCATCTGTTCTCCTGATTACATCTCCCTTCAATGGCCCTTTTTCTTCGTGACCTCTTTTCAACGTCTAGTATCTTGCAGACTGATGAAATTGAATCCTCTCAGCAACTTTCCGTACCGCCCTATTTGTGAATCGAACATCGCACTGAAGACTAACTGCCTTGGACCGAGTTCATCCCGCTCTGCTCATTTAAACGTACGCACAAACCCATCCCCGGGAACCTCTTCTAGCGACTGCTTCCGTGCAATGGGGAGAGTGGGCACCGCAACGGTCCCCGCGTCAGTCAGGGACAGATATACAATTGATATGCTTCTGAGCTCCGGCAATGACATAACATATCCCACTCGAGGAAGACGCCCTCAGTATATCTAGCTCCTTCAGGATCCCTGGGTAAGGAGCATGATCACAGCTATGAAGGATAGACGCGCGCCATCCCTTTGAATTTACGACAACATTGAATGCAGAACTCAAAAGACCACGACTTCCTCCTGGTTGTCCATGTA